AATGCTGATCACTACTTTGGGGCCAGGAAGCAATTTTTCTCCAGGCCAGTTTGGCCCCCAGTGATCCTGGAGGTTTTTTTTTAAAATCATATTCTGGGCGTGGAACAGGGGTCACTGGGGTGTGTGTAGGGTATTGGTGAATTTCCTGCATTGTGCAGGGGGTTGGACTAGATGACCCTGGAGGTCCCTTCCCACTCTATGAGTCTATGATTCTATAATTCACCCAGGCTGGCTGTGGGCATGCCAGCACCTCTGTCAGGCAGAAGCACCTGAGATCCTCCCCCTCCTCTTTTCCTTCGCCTGACTTGGAGGCGAAGGGAAGGGAGAGGGGGGAAAGAATGGATCCCAGGTGCTTCTGCCTGTCAGAGGGGCTGGTGCACACTTCCGGTGATGTCAGGGGGTGTGGCATATGCTAATAAGTTATGCTAATGAGCTCCTGCAGCTCTTTTTCTATGAAATGACCCCTGCATAAAGGAAAAGATAACTCAAAACCAGCTTCTACAAAAACATTGGGGTAAAGCTGGTCTCAGAAGAAATAGGAAAAGACCAGGGGACCCCCAAAAAACTGAAAACTAAGGCACAAAAATGTTTGTGGAAACTAGGGGATAAACTGAAGCAGTATGGGACCAGAATTAAAAAAAAATAACACACACCTATGTGGAAAGCCCAAGAACAACTAACAAGTCTAGGGAGTATGATGAACACCCAACTCACCAAATCCATAGCATCTTTCCCAAATATTTATTAGGCTGGCTTTTGGAAGGCATATTTAAACTAGTATTAACGCATGGGATATTTTAGCACTGATAATTGCTTATATGCTATTATTAAATTGTAAACTACTCTGCATTCTAGGAATGGGGTAGGTTAGCAATTCAGATAGATAGATATTGTAAAATATATACAAGATACTAAAATAATTACTTTGGTGCTACTAACATGAATATCTTGCAGTAGACTAAATCCTTTCATAATCATTTAAGCTGATTCATTTTGGGGGGAGGGAGGGGTCCTTGGAAAATTCAGCAGCAGAAGCCCCGCATACCCACCTTATGCATATATGAATATAAATCAGAGCTGATCATCTTTCTTGGTTCTGCCAGTTTATTAAAAGTTAAAAACAATTTCATCACAAGACATTTTTTTGAGATGTTTGCCAAGGTGCTAGAACAAAGAAACGAACTAGGACGGAACTTGGATATCTCTCTTCAGGAATATTTATCCTATTTAGCTCATGAAAGTAGAGAGACCTGCTGAGTAGTGCCATCTCCACCTGTGTGAAACACCCTGGAAGACCCATTTCTAATATCACTTCTTTGGACAAGCACGGAAAATATTTTCTCCCTCTGCAATCTCTCTGTGTGCCTGTCATGTTGCAGAGCAACCAGTCCATGGAGGCAGTGCAGTGTTTTCACAGGAGCCACCTGAAAACAGGCAACACTGTATAGCAGCTCTTCTGGGAAAAAAAAAAAAGGTCTAGGAACAACATCTCACAGTCTGGTATCTGGAGTGGCCTCCAAGGAGCTGGTGAAGCTACGGGACCTGCACAAAGACCTAGCCAAACTTTCCTTTCCATTCAACAATGTTGCAGCAATCTCCTCCATTTCTGTCACCTCAGTCTGGAAGGCAGCAGCCATCTCATCTCGCACCAGTTTCAGAAATGAACTGTCTTTGACAAGGGAGTGGAGTCCCCCAGAGATCAGAGCCTGTAGCAAAGGAAATGGAAGTTAAATTCCTTGAAAAACTTTAGAAAGAACTCTTCTCAGCCCCATCTGGTACAATCAGATGCCTATTTGTTGGAAGTACCAGATGTGATGTCTGGGACATTTTCCGCACAAAAGGGTCTCCCTGCTCTTGCATTTGTATTCCTCTGCTATTTAGCTTGTTTCCGCAGAGGTTTTTGTAGTATGAGGAGCAAAAATGCAGTTTGCCCCCTCTTGTGGTGCAGAACACAAGTCTTCTGCTGTGCTGCAAGAGAGGACAAACTGCATTTTTGCACCTCGGACTAAAAAAACAGAAATGATTGAAAAATCAGCAGAAATGATTGAAAGAGGCGGAGGAATACAAATGCAGGAGCGGGAAGACCGTGCGGAAAACATCTCAGTGTCTCAGCCTCCAGAAGCAAGTGACCAGAGTTGCACGCAGATAGGTAGACATTAGGCTTCTTCCTGTTTACTATCACTGAGAATCCCTTTGAAGTGTAGATCAACACTCTTTAGGGAAAAGCAACTTCCTTCCATCTCCCCCCCCCCCCCCTCTCCACAAGATGGAAAGCAGGATGATTCTCAGCATCTGCTTCCATCTCCTAGTTAGCTAGCACAGGAACTGTCTCTGTATCTCTACCCTGCACTATCATGTATGTATTTCTAGAATAAAGTAGATTATTTTGTTTCAAACTGAAAGATGGCTCTGTGTAACTTTGTAGTCCTGCAAGCTCATGGTAGATTCATGACAAGCACTGCTGTGTTAAAGCCAAGTGCACTCTACTAAATAAAGATCTGGATCACCAAAACCAGTACCCTTCCTACACTGTTTGCTCGTCTTCAATCTGAGTGGTCACTTCAACTCAAGGAAAAAATGCACAGAGCTAGATTTTTAGCAGTTGACCACTCAGATGCTATGCTGGATGGTCCTTGGGTCAATTTATAGAAGAAATGAAGCTTGCTAAGGAAATGGTAGCAGAGATTGGAAGCAAAATGAGGTCTCTGAAATAGGGGTCATTCACTAGCCCTGTCTCATGCAAATGGCACTAAGGAGATAAAAAGAAGCTTACAGGATCTCAGAATGCACTGTGAGAAGTCATGGGTTTGATGCCAAATGACCCAGCCCCCTCATTGAACCCCCACAAAATGTTTGGTAGTTGGACCAATAAACAGCCCGTTTATACAATCAGCAGCAAAAAATGGTGACGCTTTCCTGAATTATACCCCTTTAGGATGTTATAGGGTGGATGCATATCTGAATTCCCCCCCCCATGAAAAATGTCTTACACATAGTAGAATTGCATCCAGAAAAAGGCTAGAAAGCAAACTTCTCCATACTAATTTTCTATATACACTGAATTATACCCCTTTAGGATGTTATAGGGTGGATGCATATCTGAATTCCCCCCCCCCCCCATGAAAAATGTCTTACACATAGTAGAATTGCATCCAGAAAAAGGCTAGAAAGCAAACTTCTCCATACTAATTTTCTATATACAGGGAAGGGCTTGGGTCTTTTTTTGTAACAGAGTATTTAAATATAGTACGCGACCTCGCTTGAAGCAGTAAAGGCCAGAATGAGACATACTGCTTGATTCTGCTGTTAGTATAAATTAGCCCTAAAATATGTTCTAGGAAGGAACAGAGAGGAGTACAAGGTTGCCTTGGTAACTGCCCCCAGGAGAGGCTTCCCTTGCACATTAAAAAAAACAAACAGTTTTTTTCTACTGTACCCCCTCACTACAACCCAACATCCATAACTGCTTTCTGCTTAGATGCCATAGCTGGCCTTGTCTCCCTCGCTCTGTTCTCACATTGCAGGCTGGAACTTTTACCAGTCCATCCCTAAAGAATGTCCCTGCCCTTGACTCTGTCTGTGTCATTCTGCTGCTGTACCTCCTGAATAAGCTGGAGAATAGCTGGGGTGGAGGTTTCCTTGTCCCTTGATGTGTTTGCTTCAGTGGAGTTCCTAGATTGTAGCACTTTTCCATTTTCTGCCTCTTGCTGAGAGTCAATGGGCATCTTTTGGGGCAACTGCGTAAAAACAAGAACAGTCATACTAGAGTGGGAACTGCTTGGCATCAGCTGTCAGCCTCCTTGTTGCCCTGGGTGCAGCAGGGGCTCTGCCAACTGCATCACACGTGCCTTACCCCTGCTGTCCTGTGACCTTCCTTAGAGGAAGATTGCTATTTTCATTAGGCTTCTAGCACAATGTATATATGGCATTATCTTCAGTAAGGAAAAGATATGCAAACTGAACCTTGCCTGGAGTTTAAGAATCAATTCAGGGTTCATATAAGGTTGCACACAGTAATACTTGGATGCAGCAGTATGCCATAATATTCTTTCACCATTTGCATTCTGGGTTTTGTACACTGACAGCCTAAGAGGTAGCACAGCAAAAAGCATCCATCTTTTCATGGAGCTGGTATGGTGCATCAAATGAAGTAAGCCTGCTGTGAGGGAATGGATGAGCCAGACACCACCAGGCATCTGTGGGGAGGTGTGAGAAGAAAGGGAAACAAGACTCAGTTTACTATATAATTGGTATGGGCCTCTAGAGGTGAGTTTAGAAGATCCCTCATTCTGATTGGATGCCGGGCCCTCATTTTTACCAGGCAGCCATTTTTACCAGGCAGCCATGTGGACCGAGCAGACCTTGTTCTGCATAGTCACTCTTCTCTCCCCTCCCCATCCAATGCTGTGAGCTCCAGGCTGGATGCTTTTGCTGACAGTCCACAAACAGTATGGCCATATTCTCCGGTGGCATTGTAAAGGGAACACTGAAAGCACAGAGTGGGCTGAGGCCTTTCCAGACAAGTATGGGGAGAAGAAAGCAACAGGGCTGAGCTCACATTTACCTGGCACGTGGAAAGCGGAAGTTCTGAACACCTTGTGACACCATGTCTTTGCACCTGGCTTATTTTCCTTGGTTGCTTTTCAGGCTGAAGGAAGCATTTGTTGGCTGGAGGAGAGGGAACGAGAGCTAGATGTGGGATTGTGGAGAATTATACATGGCAACCTTTAAAATGGCATTGCTGCTAGAGCTCTGGCTGAACTACAAAATAGGGATGATAATATTTTTACTTGGCCAATTTCTGTTGCAATATGAATAGGCAGACATTTGAGTTACTCAAACAGACTGCCTCACTAACAGCAGAGCAATCCCTGCCTCCTATGTGTATCTGTGTATGTGTGTGAGAGAGAGAGACTGTGAACTTATGTGTGAGTGTCACAGGTTCCTATCCACCCACCATTAGAAAGGATGGGGACTGAGACCTACTCTGGAAATATTTTGCTCACAGACAGCATCACTTCTCTTGGACAAGGAATAAGAAGCTTCTCAAAGGCATGAGCAAGAGGTAGGAACTCACCCAGGACAAGTGGCCGATGAGATGGTGGTAGCACCGTCTCTCCCCTCAGCTCATTTTCATATGCCATCCTAGGGAGAAAAGCATTGAGGGTGAATTCCACAAAAACTCCCAGTTCCAAACCATGAGGATATGATTTCCAAAGGAAAAAGCCCAAGTTACTGCCAGTGCCACAGCCCATTTTCTGTTATGATTTGTTCCTCAGCCTACTGAGATTAGAACTGGGGGGAAACGGAAATAATCAACAAGGCCTGTGATTTGAGGATAGGGAGGAGCTCCCATTACTGATGAGGTTCAATTCTCACCTCGGTCATGCAGGATAGAAGACTTGGGCTGCTGTTCTTGCATCCTTCTCTATAAAGGCTCAGGTTGCCACAGCAGCCAGGAGAGCTTTCCCCCCAGCTCTGTCTGGAAACAAAGCAGTGCCTATTCTTTCAAACCCAGAGACCCAGCAGCCATCACTTATACCTTTGTACCTGCAAAGCTAGGCTACTGTAATTTGATCTACACAACGTGTCTATTTGTGATGGTTCAGAAGTGTCAGCTGGTGCAGAATGCTGCCCCTTGACAAGAATAATAGAAAAAAATGGAACTTCTCATAAGCTCCATTTTATTCAATAGTGAAGGCATCAGAGAGATCTCTCTGGGCAGGATATTCCACAACAGAAAAGGCCTTCTGTCAGGTCCCCACCTACCTCCATTGGGGAAGGGAGTGAGAGAGAGGCCTCAAGCATGGGCATGTTTACATGGGAGAACCTTTCAGATATCCTCAGCCCAGGCTGCTTTGGGCTTTAAAGACTGAAACAACACAATTGTTAAAGGATGGTTTATTTGCTTATACTAGGACCAGCTGCTATACACACATGAACACCTGAACTCACTCGATTCTTTATCTTATGGATCAGGGGTGGCCAAACTTGCTTACCATAAGAGCCACATAGAATAAATGTCAGATGTTCGAGAGTCACAAGACATGAACAAATATTACAGGTTTTTACTGGGAAATATGCAGATTTGATTTTTATTAACATTAAAATGAGACTGTCAAAAATAATAACAAAAGCTGTAAAAGCAGATATTCATAATGATATTTATTCGTCCCATGACATTTGTTTGCTAATGATATTTAGCTTCCCCAGCCGCCCTGCTGGGAGCTGCACAATATGTGTGAGCCACAGTTTGGCCACCCCTGTTATGGATGATTGAACATCTGCCAGTCTGGCTTATATCCTAGTCACCAGTTGCAAAAAGAGACCTGGTTCTCCAACAATTGGTCCAATAGTTTTTCAATCTGTTTGTATGTGTGTTGGCAGGTTGCTTCACTGTATTCCTTACAAACCATACAGCACAGCTTAACTGGTTTTTCACACATACATGTTCTCAAACAGCCTGTTCCCCCACCCACCCACTCCTTGCTGTGTAAGTGCTCTTATAATGATTCCATGTTTTGGTGTGTGTGTCTTTAAATGTTGAGTTTGACTGCGGTAATGTAAGGAGAGCGATATGGGGAGATGAGTGTGCTGTGATTGGCTAATGACTGAGAATGTGGGAGGAGGGGTGTCTAAAGGAATCTGTGTATGTGTCTATGAGGAGATTCTGTAATATGAGAGATACAAGTATGGGAGAGGTTTGAAGAGAATCTGTATGACTCTGAGATGTTTTATGACAGAGTTCTGTGTGAGAAGTTTGAAGAGACAGCATGGTCTGTGTGACTATGGAATTTTGCCTCTATTCTGTGTGAATAAGGCAAGCAGTTTAGTCTGAGTGACTATAAGAGCTGATTCTGTTCTGGGTGAATAAGACAAGGAGATTAGCTCGTTTGGTTATATATATATATATATCAGAGAGAGAAAAAGATTATACTGAGAGTCTATGCCTGTCAGAGTGACGTCTGAGTGACTGTAACACCAAGTTTTTCCAGTTATATTTACAAGTTCCTTTTTTTCAGTAACAGTTCAAAATAACCAGAAACCTATTTTGTTCTTTATTAAATAAATCAATTTTTATTTAAGCTTATCCCAGCAATCAGTACAGTTCTTCCTCAGGGCCACATAGTCCTCTGAAGTGCCCAGACCATAGGTCATTCTACCAGGAGTAGGACTGCCAAGCCGCGGTGGGGGATCCGCACGTCTTCACAGGATCCCTGTCGCGTGTGGATCCCCCGCCGCTGCTTGGCAGTCCTAAGAGAGATTTGGAATTTTAATTCCTGATGGCAGCAGAAATCTATCAAATTTAGGTACACAAAGCATGTTTAAAGGTAAAAAATGGTAAAAAAAGAAAAAGAAAGAACATCACATCTCTCCTTAGCAGACAATTGTTTAAAGAGAGAATTAGATCTCTCAAAACTCATATAAAGCAGTCATCAATAAATGCTGTGTTGCAATAAAATTCTATGCTTTGGCATTTGTCTAAGTAGCCCTTAGTGACACTAATGGCCATCAATTAGTTTGAATTGAGAGCATCTTTGCATACATGCAATTTTGGGGAAACCCAGTGCAAACCAGTTTGGCAGGCATTCATGGTTACTCAGTATGAGTTGTACAGACTGAGTGATTGGTTCACATTTAATCACCATCTTCAAACATGGTCAGTTGAATGTGTTTGTGGAGAAATTTGTAGCATCCCTACTCTAGGACTCATGCCAGACTCAGTCCTTTAAAATGAATATGACCTTCTAACTTGTTGACAAGGACCAATGGGTTCCCATTTTCAGCTTCCAAACCTGACTTTACCATGTTGTTTTGTTGTTGTTGGCATTGCTGTTGCTGTTGTTCACATTGGTGTGCTGTTCTGGTGGGAAGTCATCAAGGAAGACGGGAGAGTCCAAATCTTCACTCCCCACCTCTGTGAACTGTAGGGGTCTCTGGCTAGCCATGTGGGGCGGCAGTGGACTGCTGGGCTCTATGAAGGTGTCCACTTGGCCAAACAAACCTCCTGTCCTCTGAAGCCATAGGGGAGAGAGAAGAGACAAGGTCCTTAAGGGTTTTTTGTTGTTGTTCTAAATCTGTTTAGTGAATTTTAATCCCACCTTTTATCCAAGGAGCTCAGGGCAACATAATAGGTTCTTCCTTCCCCTATTTTATCCACACAACAATTCCATGAGGTAGGTTATGTGAGAGAATGACTGGCCCAGGTTCATGCATTGAGTTCCATGGCTGATTAGGACTTCATCCTAGGTCTTCCTGATCTGAATCTGACATTCTAACCACTATAGCACACTATCTCTCCAATGGGGAACTGAAGAGCTCCAGTTAATGACACAAACTTCAATGCAGTTTAGATGCAATTACATTAGGCAATATTCAATACATCTTTAAAATAGTTACATGAAAAATTACTGTTCTTGCTATATATATCCTCCCCCCGAAAAAATAGGTGATCAAAATGATTATTAGATCAACTAATGAGTTAGCTTTCTACTTCCACAGACTGTCTAAGTTTTAATTATGCATAACTCCCAACCGCACACTGTAAGAACAAATGGATTAATAGAAGGCATTTTTTGAATCATTTCTTATCCTAACAGTCTTTTTGAGAGCCAGTGTGAAAGAACAGGGACAGGCAGGTCTAAATTGCTGCTCATCCATGAAGGCTGCCTTCATCCGGTCACTCTGTTTCAGATATGCCGATTCCTCAGGGTTCTTGTAAGGATAAAGGTGTGTGCATGCACAAAGACCATTTACAGTGCTATGATCTCCTTGAGATCATAAGTAAACATATCATAAGGCTGTGTTCAGACAGGCACTTCAATCCATTGTTGCTCCGCCTCTTATTGAGCCAGATTATTTTATTCCAGAGAATCGTGATCAGACTCACTCCTTTTAGCGTGCTTCAAAGCACTTCTACTGGCCCTGGAGTGATCAGACAGCAGCAGGCATGGAGTCAGCCCATCGGCCATTTTTTCAAAATGTTGGTCCTTGGAGCATGCCCACAAGCACAGATGAGCCTGCTGGGATATGTACTTCGTGGGGCTGTCAGCCATTTTTTTTACAAGTTTGCCCTCTGAGCAATCGCACAAGCGCTTGCTGAGAATGCTGGGATATAGAGTTCACTGCTGTCCTCCCTCTAATCTTTTTAATTTACCCCTTCCCCAAAGGACAGAAAAAAGCTGAAGAAAAGAGGTGTCTTTCTTTTAGAGTTTTTTTTAAAAAAAACAAAGTTTTGAGCAACCCCTGTAGGAGCGGGGAGAGAGAGAGAGAGAGAGGTGCGAATAAGCAGTTGTGCGCACATTACTAACTACTTTTTTAAAAATGGCGAATGGAAAACAAGAAATCAGTCAGACCTGTGCAAGAGTGCAATCAGACAGCAGGAAATCCCTTTTGGAACAAGCTCAAACCATGGACTGGAGGAGGTTATAAGCGGCTACTAAGACATCATAGTTAAGATATCCTAGAGAGAGGGTTGTAAGACCAAAATTAATTTATATTGGATATTAGCTAGGGGTATTTATTGTAGGATTATTTACTGTTTACTATAATTAATTAAGGTCTAATTGTGGGAGCAATTAATTGAAGGGGTTACACTTAATTGTACTGATTAGTCAATTAATTATTAGGGACTGGCTATCCTATTGTTGAAATTATCTATATTTGGCTTATCTGACAAATTGGGGTTAGAATTTTAATGTAAATTGCGTCATTACTGGCCTTTATTTATTTCACTGGCCAGATGAACTAGAGTATTTTTGTACCAAATTGTTAGATTAATTGAGATTTGATCATCCATTAGGATAGACTAGGACTGCTGAGACTCCCTAAGACCAAAAGCACTGGGAGAACTGCCATTGTCAGCTGTACTTAAATAACATCAAACCATCAGACAGCCTATTATTGGTCTGTGGCTCTAGCAAAGACCACTAATGGGCGATGGCCGAGTAGGGGATACCAGTGCTCCTGGGGAGGGGAAAGTATAGCGGTGGGCCCAGGCAGACATGGAAAGGAAGGGGACAGAGAAGTAGAAGAGCTTGGTCCCCTTCCAGCCTGTGTCCCATCCCAAAGGTGGTGCTAGGATTAATGACCCCTCTCCGACATTGGTGTTGTGTAATGCCAGGTCCATAAACAATGACCATGGTTTTTCAGGACTTCCTGCTTGAGCAGGATATGGACCTGGCGTGTATGACCGAGACCTGGGTGCGAGATGGGGAAACGGTAGCTCTCTCCCAACTAGCTCCTCATGGGTTCACGGTCCTCCACCAATCCCAGACTAAGGGGAGGGGGGAGGAGTGACTCTGTTCATCCGGGAGGCTTACACCTTCAGGGTGCTCCTGCCACCAAGGCTCATGGGCAGAGAGTCCACTGGCTTTGTGTGGGAGGCCAAGGAGGGTTTGGCTGTTTGGTTGGTATACCATCTGCCCAACGCACTGACAAACAGCCTGTCATCCCTGTTGGAGGCCATATCAGGCTGGGCATTGGAGCACCCTAGACTGATAGTCCTGGGTGACTTCAATGTCCATGCCGATGACATGGCCTCCACACAGGCCTCCTGGTGTCGTGCATGGCTGTTCCCGGGGGCTCTGCATGACCTTGTGTCATGCATGGCGTTGCGAGGACTCTCTCAATATGTAATGGCTCCTACTCATTGTGCGGGGCACATGCTCCACTTGATCTTTGCGGTGGACTGCATTACTACTATGGCAGTTCCGTGGTCAGACCACTTTGCCCTGAAGGCCCGCACGAATGTTCCACCCCAACCCTGTATGGGTGGCAAGTGTATTGGACCCTTTGCAGCTTCAGATGGCCCCCTAGCAGCTCATTGGATGAGCTAGTCAAGGATTGGCATGGCTGACTCTCAGCAGCCATCGATGAGATCGTGCCCAGATGCCCTCTGTGCCCTCGCTCTAGGCTGGCTGATGAAGCAAAGGCTTAGATGGCTAGAGAGACAGTGGCAGAGAGCTCATGACAGAGCAACAAGAGCATCCTATAGGACATTTAGAAGATCCTATGAGATGGCAGTCAAAGCTGCAAAGAGGGAGTTCTACGCAGCTATGATTGCATCTGCAAGCTCACGCCCAACCCAATTGTATAGAACTATTCGGTTGTTAACAGTTCTGCCACAGGGCAGACCAAACATTAGGGAATTGGACATTGGCTGCGAGGCTTTCGCGAGCTACTTTGCAAATAAAATCTTGTCGCTTCGCCGTGACCTTCCCATCACAATTGAGACAGTGAGCGAACTCGAGGTTCCATGCACATCTTCTAGTCCGATTTTGGATTATTTCAGTCCATTCGGTCTAAAGGAAGTCAACAGATTGCTCTCGACAGTACGTCCAACCACGTGCAGCCTTGATCCGTGCCCTTTCTAATTAAAGCTGGGACAGTACGTCCTTGAGATGCCCTCAGGGATATTATCAACAAGTCCATCTCTGAGGGGCTGTTCCCGGGGGCTCTCAAGGAAGTGGTGGTCCATCCTCTCTTTAAAAAACCATCTCTGGATCCAGCCAAATTGGCTAACTATCGGCGAGTTTCCAATTTGCCCTATTTGGGCAAATTAATTGAGAGGGCGGTGGCAATACAGTTGCAGAGCTTTATAGATGATATTTCTATGCTAGATCCCTTCCAGTCCGGCTTCCACTCAAGCCATGGGATGGAGACAGCACTGGTCGCCCTCACAGATGACCTCCGGAGGCATCTGGATTGGGGCAGGATGGTGGTGCTGTTGTTGTTGGACCTGTCGGTGGCGTTCAACACAGTCGGCCATCAGCTACTTACTTACTGCCTCGCCGACATGGGGATTCAGGAGCTTGCCTTGCAATGGCTCGTCTCCTTTCTCCAAGGTTGGGGACAAAGGGTGGTGCTTGGGGAGCAGCTGTCCCGAAGGCGCCCGCTGATCTGCGGAGTGCCTCAGGGGACGGTGCTTTCCCCAATGTTTTTCAACATCTACATGCATCCCCTTGCCCAGATTGCCCGAAGGCATGGGCTAGGGTGTCATCAATATGTGGATGATACTCAGCTATATCTGTTGTTGGGCGGTCAGTCCAACTCTACCCCAGAAGACCTAGACTGGGTGCTTCAGGACGTGGCTGGATGGCTTAGACTGAGCTGATTGAAATTGAATCCAATGAAGATGGAGGTCCTGTGCCTGAGTCGGAGTGGATCGGGGGTAGGGATCCCACTACTGACTTTCAATGGGACGTCGTTGGTGCCAGTGCTGGGGGTCAGGAGTTTGGGAGTGCTCCTGGACACCTCCTTAACAATGAGGAGCAGGTAGCAGCCACTGCCAAGGCAGCCTTTTAGCAACTTCGGCTGATTAGGCAGTTGGTTCCCTTCCTTGAACGCAATGACCTGGCAACAGTGATCAACGCAATGGTCACCTCGAGGTTAGACTACTGCAATGCTCTCTACATGGGGCTGCCCTTGGCGCAACTCCGGAGGCTGCAGCTGGTGCAAAATGCGGTGGCCAGGCTGCTGATGGGTCTCCCTGTGTGAGACCACATCCAGCCTGTGCTAAAGGCACTGCACTGGCTGCCAATAGCATACTGGATTCGCTTCAAGGTGCTGGTCTTGACCTTTAAAGCCCTTTATGGTCAGGGACCTGCCTACCTGAGGGACTGCCTTTCCCCACATGTTCCCCAGAGAGCACTGCGGTCCGGGTTGCAAAATCGCCTGGCCCCCCTGGTCACAAGGATGCCAGGCTGGTATCGACCAGGTCCAAGGCTTTTTCGGTGGCAGCTCCAACTTACTAGAATGAGCTTCCGGATGAGATCAGGGCCCTGCAGGACCTCTCACAGTTCTGCAGGGCCATGAAAATGGAGCTCTTCCATCAGGCATTTACATGAGCTGTGCCGTATCACCCTCACCCTGTGTCAACTTCCCCCCCCCCAGCCTGAGCCCATCAATAGTGGAGGTACTGCTGTATATGCACTTTATTACAGTCATGATGCCATCATCATACTAATGGTTTTAATAACTTTATTGTGTATTTTATATTGAATGTATATTGTTGTTTTCTTTGTAAGCCACTCTGAGCCTGCCTCGTGGGGTAGGGCGGGGTAAAAATCAAATAAATAAATAAGACTGGACTTTCTTAGGTGTCAAAGAAACACGCAGTGGGGGGGCGGGGACTCGGACAACTGGGGATCGACAGGCAGATGCTGCTGTCTGATCGTGCACTTTAAATCCATAAGGGAACAGCAAGGGCAATGGATCAAACTGCCCGTGTGAACACAGCCATAAGTAAACTTTATTTAAAAAAACCCCACAAGTATAGTGGGTAGCTTCATGCTGATACCCCTGGGTCCACAACTCAGCCATGTGAGAGAAAGCATGGGCAGCTGCTAGCTCAAGGTATCCCACCTGTGTTCTGCATGGGAAGTGGAAGCGGTGTTTGCCCCAGCATCCCTGGCATCCATGCAACAGCCTTGCTTCCATGGAAGACCGACCTCCATGCACTTGAGCAGGGCTGCTGTAGATCATCACAAGATTTAAGGTCAGCTAATTTACAGTCTAGATCTGTATCTATGTTAAGGATGGTTTGGACATAAAGTATCTTGCCTGAGGGCAAGAGTTTGAGCTAAAAGTCTCTTAGGAGCCTATTGAAAATCTTCAATTCTGTGAAATTCCTTCTGGACAGCAAAACAATTCCTCTTGGAACTGCATCTCTTCAGCACATCACCTTAATCATGCTGTTAAGCCAGTTTCCTGGATTTAGTCTATTTTAGTGTGACCGAAAAATGCAACTTGTGCTGAGTCTCAGCACACAGGGGATTGGTTGCCTTGGTCCTAAGTGGTTCCCCTTGAGTCCTATAAGCAGGGGTCATTTGGGGGGGGACGCGGGGGGACGCCATCCCCCCGGGTGAGGTGCGGGAGGGCGGGGCCTGGAGCTCCCTGCTGGTGCCCGCTGGAGGTCGCCGCCGGCTGTGGGGAGGACACACTTGCGGTGATGTCAGGGGGTGTGGCATATGCTAATGAGTTATGCTAATGAGTCCCCCTAGCTCTTTTTCTACGAAATGACCCCTGCCTATAAGGCACAGCAACGGGGCTGCCAACAGAGACATAGTTATGTCTTTGCTGGGTGTGTGTGTGTGACAATGTAATCATAGTCCTGCCCCATGGCAGAGTGGCCTCCAGCACTCAGGATGCACTTGAATGATGTGCGCAGAAAGCATAAACAGATGCATTTTGCCCTCTAAGTGTTGTTATATACAGGGTTCCCATCGTTATGATGGCATTTTGCCAGTAGGAAAGATTAGAAAGATTGCTAACATTGGTTTAGAAATACAGATCAGCTCGGGTACTTCTCCTTAATACTCTGCCTGTTACAACAAAAAGAAATAGCACTTTGTTGTTGATGAGGAGCAGTGGTACTTTCCTGCTGGGGACCCATGAAGGGAGGAAATGGACTATCCGGGAGCACTCACCCTATCAGGTAGCAAATATCACAGGCACTCTCCTGCCAGGGGTGCCATTACCAGTAAAGGATACTCACTGCTGAAGTTTGCACAGGAGTGGTGGATGTGCAAGGGCCCTTTAATTGAACCTTACCTCTGGGTTCGCACTCACCCTATAGATGCCTTCCTCAATTGCTGCCTCCACCATGGCTCTCTCAAGCTCTTCCTCTGCAGTCAGATCCCCAGAGATTGCTCTGTGGATCTCAGGAGCAGCTTCTTCTTCAATGGTTCTCAGGCCGGCCTCATTAGAACAGTACAGATGAGAAGTTATCATCACTGGTGTTCCCTCTAAGCTGAGTTAATGTGAGCTAGCTCAGTTTTTTAGCCTCCAGCTCACAGATTTTTGTCTTAGCTCAGGAAGGATGGCTCCAGGGCAAACTAATTTATACAGTAGCCAAATCGCTCACTCACAACTTTAATGCCAGTAACTCACAAAGCAGAATTTTTGCTCACAAGATTCCACAGCTTAGAGGGAACATTGACACCACTACCAAGGGTCATTCTCATCAGAGAGGGAAGGGGACAGACAGGCAGCAGGGTGTGATCTAGTCATTTGTACCAAGATCTTATTTCCTTCCCATGAAATAACCCTGTGGGGTTAGGATCAAATGCTATACACCAAAATCTTACATAGGCATAATCCTGCAAGCTTCTCATAAGAGATAAATCTGGGCATACACTGACAGGACTAATAGGGATAGGGAGAAGTAACAACCATAAGTGATTTGAGCAGGAGGAAAAATGTTGTTAAAGAGGTCACACAGGCCAGATATCGCGGGGGGGAGGCGTGGCTAATTGCCCCAGCGCAGTTTGATGCGCGATTACGCGATCAGACGCGCCAGTGGCACACCACAGGTCCTTCCCTCGGCGCCGGCGGGTAAACGAGGGACCAGAGGGGAATGCCACGCGCCGGGCGCGATCACACCACGGGTGTCTGGAGGCAGCCCGTGGCAAACGTTTACTAGTACCTTGAAGGTACTAGTTTTTTAAGGCGCATTGTCGGTGGTAAACCACGGGTGCGCTCCACTTCCCAGATGTTGGGGTGTGATCGCGCCCGGATAATCCGCCCACCATCCATGCCTCTCCCGCGGCAACTTTGCCGTGTGACCAGGGCCATCATATGACAAACAACCTACTCTCTAGGTGCAAGTTGCCAACACCCTTATGCAGACACCACAGTACAGACTCTGTTGTACCATGGCAATTCTTTAGAATCTAAATTTTCATCTTGTTTAGCCCTGTCGTAGGTTGACCAAATCGTCATTTACTAGAGTGAGAAGAAATCATAGGATCCCTAGCCTGATTTTCAACTGACCTGGATTTCAACAGCATTCTTCTTGGGTCGATACCCATAATATTCTTCCTGGCGTTTCATGAATTTCCTGAAGTGTTCCTGTATGAGGAAGGTAGCATAGAACTTGCCCACAGTCACTTCATCATCTAGGGGGATGCACACAAATGAAGGCATTAGGATTGCTCAGCAGCAGTATCCTACCAGGCAGAACATGCCAGATTGCCTGGAAACACTGCAGAAGAGAACCATGATAAGCACAACACACAAATCTCAGACAGAGGAATGGAGAATCAGAGATCAGAAAATCTCCCCTGATTGCTAAATGACAGACTCACCTCCAATTGGTGGGATGACTTGATCCAGGAGCTTCATACTTGTTCTCTTCCAGATTTTTTTGATAATCATCCTCAGTTCTTCATTAGCTTGCTCAAAGTTACCTACAAAAGTATCAGTCAAGCATACAAATATATAAAGCTGTTTTATACTGAGGCAGATCATTGGTCCCTATTACCCAGTACCATCTACTTTAACTGGCAGTGCCAGTAGCCCTTGAGAGTCTCAAGTAAGGTCTTTCCCTACACAACTATTTGAGATTTTTTTAAAAACGGAAGGATTAAACCATGGACCACACACATGCCTCTCCTACTCAAAATTAGCCATGATGTTTTACATTATCTTGCTTCTTGTCTGTCATACCTATGAATTATGCCCCAATCAATCAGTAGTCTTTTAATTAATTCACCATGTTTTCCATCTTTTTCATTTGGTATAGTAATCCATGGTGTGATATTGCAGCCAACCAGTTATTTACATGGGCCACGTTGTACATCAATGGTGGATGCATCTGAGGGGTGATTTAAATATGGCAAGAGCCACATGGAGGCCACTGAAAAACACTTACCTGCATAGGAGCTCCAGGCAGCTGGTGTCACATTTAAAGGGCTCTTATGGCCTTTATGAATGCAGCATTTGCCTGGGCTGCCTGGGCAGGGGACATGGCTTGGTGGTAGGGCATCTGCTTTGGTCTTACTCATCATAAGGTAGTTTATGTGTTTATAATTTCATTGTTGGTGTGCTATCACTGTTCATGTATGGGCCAGTAGTTGGTGTATGTACATATCTGCCTGTCAGGTAGCCCTGTCGTGAATCTGGAATGTGGAGGGGTGCCCTCCTCCTCATTCTCAGTTCTTCCCTGTCCAGCTACTGTGCGCTATCTCTAGCTTGACCTTGTAGTCTCCAGCTGCAATTTACTCAGCTGGGAAAGTAATGGCTTTTCGCTTGCTTGCTTGCTTCTGCCCGCATGTGTGAACTATAATCATTGGCTTCAGCTCATTGTGGGGGATGTTCGATTTCACTATAAGTCAGAGGCCCTTATACTGATGGCTATTCCTGACACAAGCTGTATACGTGTTCTTTAGTACTGGAATCACCAATAAAGCAGTTATCTTCTTCTGAAGCCCTGTGTGGTGTGACCTGCCTAAGGACCCTGACACTGCCATCAAGGCACAGCCAACTTATGGCAACTCCAGCAAGGGGCTTTCAAGGCAAGCGAGGAGCAGTGGTGGTTTGCCATTGCCTTCCTCTGTAGAGCATTCCTTGGTGGTCTCCCATCCAAGTACCAACCCCACCTAGCTTCAAAAATCAGATGAGATTGGGCTATACCATGCCATCTTCCCTCCAACAGTTGATATAAGAACCTTTTAAACATAGACACTGGCTTTGTGGAATGTGGTGATCTTTGTAAAGTTGTGTTGCCTCTATCAGCTTTGAAGTTGATGAAGTTCTTAGCTTAGGCTTCTTAAAGCAAAAGAACTCCAGATACAGTATGTTGGCAAGGCTCCACTGAAACAAGTTATGCTAAGTTACTACAGATGAGGACCTGATTCCTTGAGTTCACATGATTAAAAGTTGTAAAAAGGCATTCATTTGTATTGATTTACACAGCATCTTCTGCGGGGCTTGTGTTATTGTACAGTAATGGATTTTAAGGTCAACAGAGTTTCTACTAGCTTGTAAGGTGACTAATGCTCTTTAGAATCCATGAGATGAATCAAAGCAGCTATCAGCACAGTGGAGTTCTCCTGGATGTACCCACAGGCAGGTTTCATCTCTCACCTTCTGTCTTGATCTTGAGAGCTGTTCTCACCAGAGCAAAGAGCGTGGCATTGAAAGTGACAGTACCATCACTATTCAGGGGCATATTCATGCCCACCAGGCGCTGCATTACAAACAGTCACACATGACAAAGTGTTATGCATACATATGCAGAGCACTTCCCCGCACTCAACCTCTGATAATCATCCCGGTGTCCTTTACTCTCACAAAAAATCAGCCCAGTATTTCTATAACTTTTACATAATTAATATAGTCCATTGCAATGGGAACTGGGGTGCCATTTTATGTAAGGCAAGAGTTGGGTTGGAGGTGGGTGGACAAGAATGCAACCCTTTTTACGGTTTCAAAGGGAGTATTTTCTCCAGGTTACCTTGCAAGCCACACGATGTGGGCAAAACTTCCCAAAGCCCAGGGGAGGCTGGATTCGTCTCAACAGAGTCACCACGTCTAGATGTTTGATGCGTCCCCTAAGAAACAGCAAGACAAAAATTGGGCTTTGTGAGAACTATCTTTTGCCACGCAGGATATCTGGAATGTGAGTAACTAATTCAAACTTTAAAAAAAAGTTTATTTTTCATATCTAAATTATTGAATAATTATATTTTTATTTATTTTCAGGCCTTATCATCAACCTTCCTTGGCACTGAAACATGTTTATAAGTTATTGTGTGCATGTATATGCCCACTGAGGAAGGCCTTGGAGGCCGAAATGTGTTTGGTCCTGTTTTAACATGGTTCAAGGTTATCAGCCTAAATATATTGAATTATTGGTCAAGTTTTATTGGTTTAAGGTTTTTAACCTAGAAATATCCAAATGAATCTGGTTATATAGATTCAGGACTTTTAGTTCAAATATTCACCACTTCAAAGGCGGATTGTTCCAATGTTTTTAAAGTATAGTTCTAGTGCATTTTGTAAGAAATATATATATATTGGTTTAATTTATTTCTCAAAATATTTTTTTCCTCTCACCCAATCTTTGGGTATCCAACTTCGTTGTGCCTTAAGGGTTTTTCCTCCCTTCTGTTTTGGTTTGCTAATAGCAGTCACAGCACAAGCTGGGAATATTAGCTTTCTGACATTACCATTCTAAAACGTTTTCAAATACATCCATGGAAATTCCAGGTTAGTGGGTCAGGATCAAGAGTTAAGATTAAAACTGGAGCATCTGGTGGAACATACAAAAGCTTGCGATGATGCTTCCCTTTCTGAAGATACATGTAACTGTGACATTGTTCTCAAACCACTTCCATCAGGACTAACGTCACTAAGGCTACAGTCAAACATGCCATTTGGCGTGGTTGGAAAGTGCTCCTATTTCATCCGTTGGTATTTGAAACAGAGTTGCTTGATCAGACATCCCAGTATAATCCATTTCACTGTGGGCTCAGCCTGTCACTGTGCGATCAGATGGTGTGGATGGGTGTGGGGTTTTTGCCTGTTTTTGCACATGCACATAAACGAGGGTGGAGTTTTTTGCACACGAGCTTCCCAACTTCCGGGAGTCGAGTCCTCGCTTTGACCACTTGCCAATCCTTCCACGGAGCACTATGATCCCTTTGATTCACAGTGAGCCATGTTCTCCTGACAAAGATAACTCCCTTTCCTGCTCATTTTCAAACTGGCCTAGGGATGGGGACAATTATATGGTTATGCGCATATTGCTAAGCGAGCAAAAAAAATGGTGCCCAGTCGGAATGGAATCAGCAAATCATCCCGACAGCCTGGGAATGCACTTGAGTGATCAGACTAGGGAAAATCTGTCCATGGCCCATTGGCAAGCATTAGGGCCGAACTTTCCCAGGTGTCTTTTTACTCCATTTCAGGAGCAGACCAGGACAGGGTGCTGATGACTGCGGAACATTTCACAGATGTTGCTATCTGATCATGCATTTTAGATCTGTCAGGCATTGGCATTGAAATCTGATCTAAAGGCATGTCTGATCACAGCCTAAGTAATACTAGGCTTTCATTTCACTACTAATGGAAACTCAGGACTGATAGTTACAAGCTACATAATGAATTCTCACTTGGCTTCAGGGTCATATTCTGCCCAAATTCTTTTGAATTCATCCAGGTGATGTGGACCCAATATGGACCAGTCCCGCGTGAGGTAGTCAAAGTTGTCCATGATGACAGCAACAAAGAGGTTGATAATCTAAGAAGAGATACATTGGAAGATAACAAGAGATAATGGTGCTGATCAGTTTACAGGACAAATAGTGCAATCCTAAAATGACCCTCCTGAGAGTAATCCCCACTGAATACACCTGAATAAGAATAGGCTGCTTAGGACGGCACTGAAAGTCACGTGTGCAGCTGGAGGAAGTATAAATGAGAGGCTGTGTATTTGGCATGAAAATTTCATCTCTAGCAAAAGCAAACCCCTCTCTTGAAAGGGTAGTCTAAACAGCTGAGTAGTCTTCTCTGGCAACAAAGCAAAATATTCAGCACACTATAGGACAAATAACTTTTTTTTAAGTTCACAGGCCACACTGTAAGTGGAAAGACAAAAGACCACATACAAATTCTGCAGTGTTGGTTGGTTACAATCTCAGAAACTAACTCATGTAGCCTATGGTCCCTTTCAAGTTACTGTTCTAAACCGGATGCTGTCCATTGTTGGCCCGGTTCCAAGCAAAGCGATACAGGGACAGAGGTTTCATACAGTGGATTTGACTCGGTTAATGACCATTCTCTGAAGCAAACTGGCCATTTCAAACAATGCAGTGCTTTTTTCCATGCCCTTTTTTGCTGCCTGATCTTCCTCAAACTTTTTTGGGAAAGTTCTAAGTTGAGCACTATAGTGCTAGACCAATATAGCACTTCTCAATGTATCTCAACAGTGCCACCGTAGCACTGAAGTGCTATATTGGTCTAGCGCTATAGCACTCATCTTAGAACGTTCCCAAAAAAAGTTAAAGGAAGATCGTGCAGTGAAAAAGGGCAGGAGGAAAATCATGGCACTATTGGAAGTAATGCAGACATTTTAAAAAGCACATTACAGCAATTCAGAAGAACAAAGAAGAGGTGAAAATGGAAGAAAGCAGTTTACTTCAAGAACAGCTCAATTTCTTTCCCTCCTTCTCCAATTTCTTTTGCAAGCCAATTTGAGGGTTTTTTAAAATCAAGATTCATTAAGTTACAACGGACTTGTAAGGTTTGTAAGGAATTTGTTTTCCCAACCTGGCTGATGCAATCCTTACCACTTGCTTCCAATAACTGGAGACACATTTGCATGAGTACAACATATGAGGTGGGTTTTTTTTGTTTTTTTTTAAAGAATGGTAGGATATTTTTTAAAAACTAAACTGACATCAGGGAAGAAAGGCACAGGATAGGATACAGTTCAGTACCCTTTAACCATACTCCCTCTTTACTGTTCCAAGTACATCACTCCTGCCACTTTAACTGTGAATGGGGCTCTGTTACATATACTTTGGCCTTTAATGCTCTATGTTATTATTATCATGCTCCTGCCATATCAAAAGCCACTGTAGTCAATGGATTAGAATGTTGGATGAGGACCTGGGAAACCTGGGCTCAAATTCCCATTCACCTTTGAAGTTCACGGAGTGACCTGGGGTCACTCACTTATGAGTGCAGCACCATTTTTTACTGTTACCAGAGCCACTTACAGGTTGGGAAGCCCCAGTAAGGAGGAGCTAGAAGCCACTCTGGCCATTTTTGTGGCTTTATCCATTTCCCACCATTCTGGCACTGCCCAGAGATGCCACCAATTAGCAGTTGGGACCTCCAGATCCCTTAAATGGCTGTAGCTCCATCTCAGTTGCCCAAAGACTCTCCTTCAAAGGTCCCCAGTAAGTCCAGGGACTCCCCTGTTCCCAGACAATGGGAGAACTGTATGTGGTGTTGTAAGCTCCTTGGAGAAAGTATGAAATATGATGATAATAGATAAACTTGTCATTATACAGCAAGAACTGTCCAGAAGAGCGAAAATAACTTACCAGGAATGCACATATCATGTAGAAACTGATGAAGTAGAAATAAGCAAAGCCTGTACCACAACTGTATTCTTCCCCAGGGGTATAGTCTGACTCGGGGTCACACAGTTTCCCATAGCTGGCAGCCAGTAGGACCTCTTGCCAAGCCTCACCTGTTGCACACCTAGAGAAAGGGATAAGGTAAGATAAGCACTCCTTTTCAAAATACCTTAACTGAGTTAGTAGAAGAGGATATACAATGTTATGGGAAGAAAATGGGGACCAGTATCTTTGGAATCTAATCCTATACCATGTGAAATTAGAAGCGGAGATCTGATCCCATTTTTTGAATTTCTCTGAGTTGCCAGAATTTTTTAAAAATCCAAATCTGGACAGAGAAGAACTCTACCTTCCCTGTGTGAGCAAGCAAAGGATTCCTATACAGCTTCTGTAAGAAGATGGTTTTGACCTCATCTTTCTGTAAGTTAGCCCCAGTTGTAACATTGCTGAAGGTTGCATCAATGCAGTTCCAATATGTTTGTCCATGAGACCCCAGAAAAATGTCTGTGTCAGCACCACTAGTCTGAATACTTTCCGTATGATCCTGTGTTATTCAAAGATTCTTCCAGTGGTCTCTAATGTTCCAGGAATGGGAAAATTATTTTCAGTGGGAACCACATGGTGGCACTAATGTCTGAATGAAGCTCACCTACCAGGTGCCAGGGTTTCAAGCAGACAAGTCTTTCCCATCTATTGGGATCTTTTAGTTACAGCTGCCTAAGTCTGGAAATTTGGGTCCTTCTGCACATAATATGTCATGCTCTACCAAATCTTTGTAATAGTGCATTTTTGTTTTAAAGGACGTTAACTCAAGGGTGGTATGAACAGGAAAAGGAGAGCAACTACATAGGGAGGGTGAAAAGGCAATTCTCTATTGCAATGAGAATGGTGGTAGTGGTACTACAAAGCCCAACACAGGAAAGGGTTTATATGATACAGACCTGAACAGCAACAGCACCGCTTGTGGAAAGGTCTGAAAATTGTTATTCCGATTGATTTGGGTTCCATCCACTAGACCAACTTTCCCAAACATCTGTAAAGCAGAAGTTCTGGTTCAGTTCCCTTGTGCAGATATCAGTTCCTATCCTCTGTTTCTCTGATCAGCTCATGCTTTTTTGCACAATTTTCCTTACGTCTGTTGCTACTCTCCATTGTTTAGTTTTTCTCTGATTCTTTAGATTTCCCCCTCTAAGAAAATCAGTTGATTAAAGTTGCAGACAGTCCTAATTGTACTTACTTTTATTGCTATCTTAATTAGTTTGTTGGTTTTAAATCTTTCATAAAGTTTTGGTGTTGCTGTTGGTTTGTTAGTACTCAGATGATATTTTAATTGGATTTTTTCTGTTGATTCTAGATGAGTTTCTTTTTATAGATACTGAGTGATTTTTGTTTTTATTATATATAATGACTTGCGGTTTGTAAGCCATTCCAAGAGCCTGTATTGACCGAGAAGTGCAGAATATACCATTTCTAATCATGTAAATAGGTATAAAGAATAAACAATAAATCCTACTAAACTGAGAAGAATATAAGAACCCTCCTGGATCAGGCCCAAGGTCCATTTAGTCCAGCATTCTCTTTCGAATGGTGGCCAGCTAGGTCCTTCTAGGAAGCCCACAAGCAGAGGGGATAAAGGCAACAGAGGCTTCCTCCCCCCTTAGCAATTAGTATTCAGAGACATACTGCCCCTGAATCTGAAATTTCCACTTAGCGGTCATGCCTAATAGCTATTGATAGATTTATTCTTGGTTAATTGGCCCTTTAAAAGCTGTATCAGCCCCATAGAAACTGTGTGATCTGTTGCTGAATAACATGCACGTGTTGGTCTGCAGAGCTTGAAGCTGAATGTCTGTGGCAACAAAGCATTGATCCATTTGGCATCCTTTGGAATAAAATCTGTGGAAGTTCAGAGCATGGGGCTTTCAAGGTGCAACAATCTCATGGGTCAGGCTGTAGACTGAATGTAAGGAAAAGCAGGTCTTACTTGATTTCCAGCCAAGACCGCTATTGACTGACTGGATGCAGGACCACTGTGTGACTCTACCTTTCCCATCTACCTTATAGGAGAATACTGTGCTCACTTCATAGAATGCACAGCAGTCCTTCAGAGAGGAGGATTTCAGGGAACTAAAAATGAGCAAGATATCCAAGGGATGGGAATGAGTCTATGATCCCTATGGAAGATTAGGGATCTTGGCTGCATCTGTGCTGAGAGAAGACAAACATTTAGACAAGATATGGCTCTTCTTCAAGTGATAAACTTATACAAAAGCTATATGCTTTCTTATTATCTGACTATCTACAAGATGAAACAGTAAACGGGGTTATGGTGGCCTGGATGAAAGACCTAGAATACACTTTGGAGATAGATCAATGGTCCAAAATTTGGAATGCAGCTGAACTGATGAGAGCAATACCATATAAAGAGAACATATATAAAATGTTCCATAGGTGGCACTGGACACCTGATAGAATAGCAAAATGTTATGCGACAACATATATATATATATTTGAAGCCTATAGACCTCTAAGTGGAATTGAAGGTTTCTCTGTAGGTATGACAAGCGAATGTTCATGTTATTCTTGTATGTTTATGTACGAACTGTTCTGGAAAATAAATAAAAATAACAAGTAAAAAAAAAACCAAATAGAAATTGTTGGAAATGTAAAGAAAAGTAGGTACGTTCTTGCATATGTGGTGGAGGTGTGAAAGCGTGCAAAAATATTGGCATAAAATATATATAATACTAAAAGGTATCACAGGGCTAGAAATACCATTCTTACCAGAAATATGTTTATTGAATATACTCCCGGAAACAGTTAATAAAGAAAATGTATATGTAATAACATATATTTTTATTGCCGCAAGGATAATGTTAGCTAAATGTTGGAAAACAGACAACATACCCTCAAAGGAGGAACTGATAGAAAAATTGTTGTTAATGGGAGAAATGGACGGGTTAAGCTTAATGTTGCAAGGGAAAGACCAAGATCTATTTGAAAAAAGATAGAACAAAATGTATGTATGGTTGAAAAATATGACATAATAGTGACTCACAAATATGTAAATGATGATTCGTTAAGTAATGTTGTTAAGATGATAAAAAAAAAAAAAAACCGGGGGGGGGGGGGGAAAAGACAAGCATTTCATGGAATCCTGACCTGCATCCCAATCACAGCATAGATGAAAAACAGCATCACAATCAACAGGGCGACATGTGGCAGGGCCTGTGGGACAAAGCAGAGAATTCAAGAGTCATATATAACTCCAGTACAGCAATGAGACAGAAACTGCTGGCCTGTAATGCTTGTCCTCACCCCCCTCCACCCCACTTCTAAATTCCTTCCTGCACCTAGAGCTGGATTGATGCCCTCTCAACTAGTGTGACACACACCTGGAAAGACTTGATGAAGGTCCAGAGTAAGTTTCTAATGCCTTCTGCACGGCTCAGCAATTTTACCAGCCGTAGGACCCGGAAAAGCCGAAAGAAGGTGATTGAGATCCGCCCGTTATCATCGTCACCTGTGGAAGGAGGCTGTGGGAAGAGCAATCTCTTAGGCAGTGAGTACAAATGGAAGCAGGCAGGAGACAGACTTCAGGAGTTGATCTGACCTGTTCAGCACGATTGTCACATTTACCAGCAGCACTGCTCTTCAGTTCACCTGCTGCTTGGTCTATGGATATAGCTCATAGCAACAAACACAGCAATTGTTGCAACACAGGTAGAAGTATGGCCCAAGGGCTGACAGCATGCTAAAGGGGAAGGAAGGATTGTACTACTCCACTAATGGCATGCTAACGCAAAAGGATTGAAATAGAAATTAATGCCACCCCTTCATACTCAGCTGCCTAACAGAAGGATGAGTCTTTTGGCCTTGGCATTTCTTCTGGAGCTACAGGTGACACACTCTGTTGGTTCTGAAGCTGCTGGATTCATTTTAGTGAGATTAAAGATGATTCTGCATCATCAAGAGGCCCCCAGGTCCAGCATGAGAGGAGGGGTCAAAGGATCAAGGGAGCAAACCCACTGAGAGGAAACACACTCAATATGGAGTCAATCTACCACAAAGCTCATCTACAGATTTATATTTGTGCAGGTAGAGGAGCAAAAAATAATAATTCAGAAACTGCCTCCTGCAATGCAGTGTAATATCTGCAGGCTTTAGGATCTTCAGCTCTTGCTGTATCATCTTCTACAGTGAAACTGCACAGGATGGGCTTGCAGGCTGGACCAGGAATGGAAATTAGATGCTCCATCCACATCAGACTCAGTTACATATTAGATGGTACTTGCTGTCCACTGGCAATTTCACCAGTAGCGCAGCCACAGAAATATTCCCACTACATTGTTAGAAGTCTCATCCAAAAAAGCAGCACCTTGGACGCTGTTACTTCTAGGCAACAATACATTTCTTAGGTCCTACAAAATGTAGAAGGCTATATAGGCCCCTGCCACATGGGGGGGGGAATGCGTGGCCAAAGTGCGGCTTTCGGAAGCCGCACCAAAATAGACACACCGCGGCAGGATCACACGAATCCCCTGAGCCGCGGCGCCGTTTCTCCCCGGCACGATCATATGCCGGGGAGGAAGCCACGGTCGGGAGACCGAGGCAGCCAGCTGTGCATGTGTCCGCATGCGCAGTTCGGCCAGGAGCCGGGGATGTGCCGGCAGAAGGACGCGCCGGCGATCCCACGGCCATGCTTGCCGCGGCCGTTCAGGTAAGCCCAACTCTGTCGGTGGTTCTTTTTTGCTGCGGGGTTTCCGGGGTTAGGGGCAGATCGGGGACGGGTGCGTGCCGCTTCCCAGATGTTGTGGTGAGATTGTGCCCGTTTGCTGCGGCCACGATCCGTCCCTCTCCCGGGCCAAAACCCTCCATGTGACCGGGACCATAGTCTTATTAACCAACACTATATAATGTGCCAACCTCTTACTTCTGGATAACTTGTAGCAAGCAATTTTTTATCTAGATTTTCATCTCTGTTGGGCAGGGGAAAGATGGGTGGACAGACAGAAACAGCAACTGGACTTGCTGCTTACAAATCTAAAAAAAGTATTGCAATAGACATAGCATATCAATCTAAAACCTTCAGGAGCAAGGCAATGCTGCAATCTTGCAACCACTCCTTAAGTGCATTGGCGCAGATAAACCAAAAGATTTCTGCAGATGGAAGGTGAGGGTTGGGGTTGTTTGTTTGTTGCCAATTGTCCCCTCCAGCTGTAGACCTTCAGCTCCACCATCATGCTGTTCCTGGTGATCACCTGTTCTCCAGCAGCAGCATTCTAGGGAGCATTCTGAGCTACAGTGGGAGGGTGGGAATGGCTCCAAGCTATTGCCTGGGTCATTATCAGATTAGTAAGGAGCAATGAGAAAGAAACTCTCAGGGTCAGATCTTTTAGGGCACAGCCCTCTGCTCCCTGTTCTCTAGACCAATGTGTGATAAATGTAAAGTGCAATAACATTAGAAGGAAAAGAACAAGCAGGCGCTGCTGCTGTGAGCTCTAACTCTGCAATGTGAAGTGTATTGACTACACTTCTCTTGAAATCAGCCTCACGATTTATGAATGGTAGAAAGGCTAAGGAAGGGGAATCTGCATAGAACAAAGTGGTAGGGTGATACAAACTGTGGATACTGGGTATGTGCTGGATGTCCATCTGGTGAGCATTAAAACCATTATATAAAGATATGTCTGAAACTACAGCTGAGTTGGCACTGTCATGGGATAATCTCCCCCTCCCCCCGGTTAAAGGTATATTTAACGATACAGTGCAGAAAACCTCAACAAAACAGACACAGTGTAGACTCCAGCTGCAAGTCAAATGGGGCTGTTGTACATCAGGGAATACAGGAGTCTGATCAGCACCCAGATTTGCCATAAGATTTTAATATGGACACAGAGCTGCCCAACCATGCAGAGGTCTTAAAAGTGGTCAGTGGTACATCTGATAAGTTTCCAAACTTGGTAATCTAAATGTACAAAAAGTTCTCACATTGTCCTAGTTCTCTTTTGGGTTCTGGCACTCCACAGGACAGAAGGGGAACAGTGAGGCATCGGCACCAGTTGTGCAGTCTATGTAAAATATCTACAGATTTAAACTTGTTTAATAGCTATTTCCTCTTCAGAGAGAACGGAAGTTCTGGGGGCAGGATCTCAGCCAAACTACGATTCCTAACCTTCTTTGAGGGATGCAGCGACAGTTCAATTGGTATTAAACCAATATATATATTTGTAGGGTAGATAAGTTCTGGCTTTCCAAGTTCAAGGTATCTTATTTACTAAAGGCATTTGATTCCTTTGCTTTGAGTTAGTGTGGACATTGCTATGTGGACATATCTTTAGATTTGTTCCCCATGTCTCCATGAAGATTCAATTTTGGCATCAATCTCATGCAACTCATATCAACACAGCAGGACACAGCAACATGGAATGGTCTAAAAAGGAGGGGGAAAGGCACTATAAAAGAAAAGGTTATCCACAGCAAGCTCATGCAGCTGATATTTACAATGCCATCACAGCCACCGCTTAGGCAGTACAATCCGCCTCTGGAAGCAAGAACAGTCTGTCAAGAGAACAAAAGAGTCAACCAAAGAATCCCACACCTTTAAAGGTTGAAAAATGAGGAAGAGTGAAGGAAAGACAGAGGGATAGACTGGATGAGTAGGAAGGATTGCGTTTCACAAAGGGAGATCATGGAAGATGCTAATGATAACCATGACAAGGAAGACAAGCAAAAAAGAGGAAAGGATAAAGGGTTTGGGGGGAATAATGCATGAAACAATGGGAAAATTGATCAGTATCTAGTGCACAGGCTTGAAGAGAAGAGCACTGAGCTGAGAATTGTTACTGTCCCGAACAAAGTTTGGAATTTTAGAAAAAGTCAAAGTTTGACCCCTGTAAAAAGACTGGAGCACCAATGCCTCTGTGGCAACGTTTTGAAGACCTGCATGCTCCTAAAATTAAGCACTCGCACCCTGCCTATGGCACATGATCAGCTGAAGCAACATGTTCAAGAGACCATTAGGGAACTAGATTTCAAATGGGGGCCAGGTGCTGTTAGGTTCCTATACAAGAGATGAATGCTCAACATGGCCTTTCACCATCAGCAGCTCCTACTGTAATAATTCATGGTCCCATCTTCAGACTCTCAGCATACCTCCCACCTTGTTGAGTTCTTCTGCAAATGTTAGCTCTTTCTTCTGTACATGAAGATAATCCAAAGACTGGACCAAATGACCTGAGGAAGAAGGAACAGCAGCCTTCTACAGGATTTAACAAGGTGGCCTGGTTAAAAAAAATCTGGTACCTATGAAAGACTTACAATATTCAAATGTACCCATTTAAAAATTCTGATTCTATGACATTTATGTATTTCATTTCATACTTGCTCAAAGTGGTGCCACTGAATCTAGTAACAATGAATGTATTGATTCGCTAGATCAGTGCTCTGGTCAGTTCTTTCTCTTTTCTTGACTAAAATCCTATTTGGACAATAAGTTTCTCTTATCCAAGGCAACATATGAACTGTATTAAAGCCCACAAATAATTCCAGTGGCCCTTTAACACCACTAGTGTTATTTATTCTTGGATGAGAGGCCATCAACAAGAGCATTTACTAATTCATCTAAAGAACTCACCTAGCAGGGTGCTTATTGAACATTAATATACAGATAAATGAGACAAATGGACAAGGAGGAAGGAAAAAGGAAGGAAAGAGGAAGACAAAAGTGGAAGCACAGAAAGGGACAGAGTGGAGAGGTTTGCAAATATCTGTGGATGGAAGAACAAGAGCAATACTGAAAGTTTGCTTAGGATGGAGTCTATTGCTCTTTCAACACAGGGCTGTGATTTTGTCAATGTCAGAGGATGGGGTATTGAGTATTTGATGAGAATTATGATCCAAATGTTACCCCTATTATGCTTGTGCATTTTCCACCTCAGTTTTTCAATGCGAAGCAGCATTCCGGTGCGGCAGATAAACAGCCCAAGGGAAAAAAATGAAATCAGGGCAAGAACTCCTCTGTCTCTGACAGTGAAAGAAAATAACATATGCCAAGCTTACTTACTAGGCCCCAGATTCCTAATCTACATTCTTAGATTTCATTAAGCTTTCTCCCCTTTCATCTTAATTGCTCAGCACCTGGATCTCCCCTCTGAGTCTTTTGGCCATCTAATGTGCCAAGCCATGCTCAGGGAGAGCATATGGTAGTAGGGTCAGTGTAAAGCAAGTAGATAAAATCTACTAGCTTTACTAGCTTTAAGGTTGTAAACAACATCACAAAATGTGTACATCTTCTTGTTGATGATGTCCAAAACCTGGTTGATTCTATAAAGAGGCACATCACGTTTTTCCAAAAGATGGATACATAAAGGAAGACAGTGTTCAAAAATGGAAGGGGGAGATGGTTATGGCAGGACTTCTTAGAAATATGGAATTAGGCACAGACACGACTGATGAATGCTGTATTCTGAATTGATCTACTTCTACAGCAGTTCCGGAAGCTACAGCTAATTGCAAATGCATGCATTAGCGCTGGTCACATGAAGGCACAAGGAGGCATTTTTAACCCAATAACATCTGTAGTTGCCAGTGTTGTGTATTCAATTCAATGTAAACTGTATGTGAACACCATGCAAAGCTTCGTCCTGGGCAAGGATCCTAATTCCTCAATTCTTATTGGTAGCCCAGGAAGAGCCGACCAATCACCTAACATCCAGTTCCCTGAGGGGGAATGTCTGTGATTGGACTTTATCTTACAATCCTATTGGTTGTTATGTACAGTAGGGCAGGGCTACATTAGTCCAGGAGAGTTTAAAGGAAGCCCAGCTGCAATGCAAAACTTGTTCTGGTTCTTCTGTTCTGGTTGTATTAAGCGTTGCTCATTAAAGCCGAATCACTAGCTGAAATCACTCTCTGACTCTTTGTTAAGTAGCCGCCTTAACAGCCAGTATGCTCTCTCTTTATATGCAACACAGAATGTAGGATATGCTATTCCACCTATAGGATGTTTTAATATTCTGTGGTGTGTTTCATAGCATCCATGCATGCATGTATAGAAGGCAAAATTCACATATGCAAGTGCTGCCATAAAGATATTCACACTATAAGCACATATAGTAAGCAGCTACTTGGAACATGGTTGCCATGGTGGTCAATGGCAGAAATTCTTTGCAGGTACCATGAGGCAAACCATCTCAAGTTTCAGCTATATATTGCTTGCCAGGAGTGTACATTTAAAAAGCACACAGAGATTACAGGACAGGTGAAATCTCCTGGGCATGGTGGTACATCAGTCTCCAGGCTATGATCAAGGACAAATGACTAGATAGTGCTTCTTGGAAGAGATGTCTATAAGTCAAAGTACATACTGGGTTCCTTTATGGGAGATGCCTATCGTTCCCTTCACACAACAATTACAGCACTCCTAACCCATTCTGAAGGTTGGTGAAGTTGGGACATGGCTGCTGTTGGCTGTAAATCAGAAGTTTTGCTCAGACATGCAGGACTGAGAGACCAGATGCTGCTGCATCCTAAAAGCTTGTCTTTGTCTGTTTCCTTCCTCAGTTTTCCAGTCTCTACCACCCTCCAGTGCTGGTTACTCAAAATGCAATCCTTCAGCTGCTCCAGTTGCACTTACATCGATCTGACTAAGGATGACATCAATGATGCTGCCAATAACAATGAGGAAATCAAATACATTCCAAGGGTCTCCAAAGTAGCCCTGAAAAAGAAAGGAGAAAATGGACTACAAAGAACACAGAATCAGCAGGGATGCAACAGAAGGAGGAAAAACCATACAGCCAGGAATGGGAGTATTTCAGGCTTATATGATATTGTTAGGATTCAAAACTGACATGCACCCCCTCCCGACAGCCCTACACATCTCCAGCAATCTCTCTGGAGTGTTTCTACTGAAGAGTTTAATGTGTTGCACTGGGAGTCTTGTGCATCTGCTCCCCACTCACCTTAGCCTTGAAGGCTATAAGTTTAAGAATCATCTCCACAGTAAAGAGGAGGGTGAAGACCACATTGAGAATATCTGAGACCTGGTTCATTGTCTCCGATTGATTGTAATGCTGTAGAGATAATTGAAAATTTGTTTGTATACAGCACTCCTAATAAAAGTCTGCAAGGAGGAATCTTTTGCAAGCATAGGCAACACAGAAATGCCTGCACCAATAATATTTTGGCAGTATTTTGTTCATTCGCATTTCTATGGCTGAGAGCTCTGGAACAATAGCTAGCCACCATGACAGTTCAGTAACATGTAGCTGTGTAAAATGCACAACTAAGGAACTGAAAGACTAACCCAGGGGTGTCAAACATGCAGCCCGTGGGCCAGATCAGGCCCTTGGAGGGCTCCTAACTGGCCTGCAAGGAACTGCCTGTCTCCTGCTTCTTTCTCCAGTGCTGCTGCTTCTTTCTCCAGTGCTGCTGCTTCTTTCTCCACTGCTGTGTAGCAGCTTGCTTATCCAGACTCTCTCAATCGCACAGGAGAGATAGCTAGGCAAGCTTCTCTTCTCTTCCCTGCACTGGCTGAGGCTCCTCCCCCTCCTCTTCTGGGGGGAGGGAATGAGCCCAAGCTGGCTTCCTGGCCAGGCTGCCTCAATCGCACAGGAGACAAAGGCAAGCCTTTCTTCCCCTCCATTGGATGAGGCTCCCCCCCCCTCCTGCTTTGCTTAGCTGCTTCAATTGCATGGGAGAAATACAAAGCACCTTTAAGACCAACAAAGTTTTAGTCAAGGTATGAGCTTTTGTGTGCCTTGCCCTGCAGAATCTGATGCAATCCTGCAGGGCCTGTAAGGCAGAGATGTTCCACCAGGCTTTTAGCTGAGGACAGCAACAGGAGGTTAAGATTGGCACCCTTCCCTTCCTTTCTATGGCCCCCACCTACCCTGCCCTGCCCTGCCATGCAGGACAGTGGTGTGGCCAGTATAGGGCGGGGGGATTATTATACTGCTACCTTGGATCGGTTTTAATTATTATATATACTGATTGTATTTTAAATGTTTTTATAATGGCTGTAAATTGCCCAGAGCCTGCTTGCAGGGTGGGTGATTCATAAATTTAATGAACTAACTAACTAACTAACTAACTAAATAGTGTGTGTTTTGTTTGGCTCATTATGCCAGGGCTCTCCTGGGTGCAACTGGGTTCCCTCCCCCTTTTCACTGTATTCATGCCTTCATGATCCAGTCTTTCTCAGTAGGAAAGCAATGCAAACTATTCAGATGAGGAATAACAACAAGCCAGTGAGGTGGATTAGGATGAGAGTGTGTGTCCAGACCAAGTTCACCCAGCACATTTCCTTCATAGGCTAGACTTCCCAGAAGATAGTAGGCTGATTGCTCTCTCTCTATTCCTGCACTGCCTCATAGCAGTTGTAGTTATTTCTATGGGGAAGACTATAGTTTTGTAGACAAACAGATAGCCCACAGTGTGTGTCAGGATGTTCTCATGTTCTTGACCAACACACAAAGCAATTTATGTAAAAAACCTCGCAATACGCCACCATTTCATGTTTTCCCATGGGTCCTAGGCTCAGAACACTGAGCATGTGATTTCTTTAATGAATGTCAATAAATCAAAAATAGGTTTGCAGCTTACCGATACAAACCTGAACAGCATACTCGAGATTGCTACAGCACAGACATTTTGGTGCAACAATTCAGAACAAGAGATGTCAGTTATCAGAGACTGTTAAATAAACAAAATATTGCAAGAGTGCTAATGTTTTAAGTGTGTTTTATTTAAAGTTTAAAAAATAATGGTGTTTGTGTCCTTTATAAAGTGTATAACTCTGCTACCTGGCATTACATTTTACTACACACATGGCCTGGCCAAACAAGGTCTCATTTATGTCATATCTGACCCTCATGAGTTCAACACCCCCGAACTAACTCATATTTTCAAGCACAAGATCAGCAATTGTTCACTATAGGGGCACAGCTTTGCCACACTTCTTCCACAGGCAGACTTTCTGTAGGATCCCACTACTACCATTTCATACTGCTACCCTTCAGGGGATAGGAGTTCTACTTATCCATACCTGCATGCCTAAGCAGATGGTGTTCAATGTGATCAGGAAGAACATAAGATACTCAAAGTAGGAGGAGGTCACCACATACCATATCTGGTACTGGTAGGGGTTCTTGGGAATGTAACATTTCAAAGGCCGTGCTTTCAATGCATACTGGACACACTGGCGCTGCAGAGAGAGAAAAGGCATATTGTGAAAGGTCAAGCATAAAGAAATCATTCTTAGGACCTCCCCTCAAAGAGTTCTAGTTCTTTGAAGTCCTGAAGTTTACCAGCAAAGCCAAATAATTGATATGCCCCGTTCCCTTCCTAAACAATTTGTTTAAATGGATTTTTTCTGAAGGACAAATGGTAACGATCAGAATTTTCCAAGTTCTTCCTGCAGTATTTTATTTATTTATTTATTGAATTTCTCGCCTGCCCTTCCCTGCACTGCAGGGCTTAGGGTGGGTTACCACAGAATATAATTTACAATAATTTAAAACAGTTAAAACCTAATCTACATACTACTAAAAAGTATACAGCAACAATTAATATAATTTCCAAGATGGCAGGTGCTCTCAAGAAAACTTTCAGTATGAGTGCCCATAGGTAAGACTAAGTAAAACAACAACTCCAATAGTTGGTACAAGGTGAAGAAAGGCAGAGTAGGGGAGGCTGATGTAATTAGATCTCTGCTGCCTCAACCAAAGTCCTGGGGAAACATCTCCCTTTTACGGGGCCTGGAGAATTGCAACAAGTCCCACAGGGCCCTGGTCTCAACTTGGGAGAGTGTTCCACCAGGTCAGAGCCAAAAAAGCTCTGGCTCTGGTCGAGGCTAAGTGGATCTCCTTTTGGCCGGGGACCACTAGCAGATGTTGATCTGCAGAGTGTAAAGCTCTTTGGGGGACATATGGGGAGAGACGGTCCTGCAGATATGTTGCAACTTGGGAGAACTAGGGTTCCCAGGTCCTCTCGTTGCTCCAGCAGGGGATTTGGGGGGCGTTCTGGGGCTGGGTGAGGGCTATTATCACCCTGGAACTTCTATCTAGTAGCTGACTGTCTGCAACTAGTGGTAGGGTTTATCAAAAGCTTTCTGGAAGTCAAGGTAAACAACATCTATTGGGCCCCCCTTGTCCACATGTTTGTTTACCCCCTCAAAGAACACTAACAGGTTAGTGAGACAAGATCTTCCCTTACAGAACCCATGCTGAGTCTGCCTCAATAGTTTTTGTTCTTCAATGTGCCTACTAATTCTTTCCTTAATAACAGTTTCTACCAACTTACCCGGTATCGATGTCAGACTGACTGGCCTGTAATTTCCCGGATTTCCTCTGGAACCCTTTTTAAAGATGGGAGTGACATTAACTACCTTCCAGTCCTCAGGAATGGAGGCAGATTTTAATGAAAGATTACATATTTTTGTCAGGAGATCCACAAGTTCACATATTTCAGAACTCTTGGATGTATGCCATCCGGGCATGGTGTTTTATCAGTTTTAAGTTATCTATCAGTCGTAGGACCTCCTCTCTCATCACCTCAATCTGACTCAGGTCTTTCAACACCTCTCCCGAAATCAGCAGTTCTAGAGTGGGCAAGCACTTCTCATCTTCCACAGTGAAGACAGAGACAAAAAAATGCATTCAGCTTCTCAGCCATTTCCCTATCATCCTTCAGTACTCCTTATACCCCTTGGTCATCCAAGGGCCCCACTGCCTCCCTGGCTGGTTTCCTGCTTCTAACATATTTGAAGAAAGTTTTCTTGTTGGTCTTTATATTTTTTGCTATATGCTCCTCATATCCCTTTTTGCCTGCCTGATCACAGATTTGCATTTTATTTGCCACAGCCTGTGTTCCCTTTTATCAACTTCACTGAGACTAGGGCTGATTTCCCACAAGCTGCTGCTCCACGCTCATTCCTCCCTTTGCCCCAATCGTACGTGTCAATTTCACACCATGTGCTGCGTGTCTGCATTTTGGTCCACAGCTTCGCCCAATTTCCCCCGCGTCTACTCAATCCTCAAAAAACAGGATTGAGTAGACGTGGGGGAAATCGGGAAAAGCTGCAGAGCAAAATGCGACCACGCAGCACATGATGTGAAATTGACACGTACGATCGGGGCAAAGGGAAGAACAAGCGCGGAGCAGCAGCTTGTGGGAAATCAGTCTAGCTTTCCACCACTTAAAGGAATCCTTCTTACCTTTTACAGCTTCCATTACTTTGTTAACCATGCATGGTGCGCACGGATCAGGAGTTAACAAAGTAATGGTTAACAAAGTAATGGAAGCTGTAAAAGGTAAGAAGGATTCCTTTAAGTGGTGGAAAGCTAGACTGATTTCCCACAAGCTGCTGCTCCGCGCTTGTTCTTCCCTTTGCCCCGATCGTACGTGTCAATTTCACATCATGTGCTGCGTGGTCGCATTTTGCTCTGCAGCTTTTCCCGATTTCCCCCACGTCTACTCAATCCTGTTTTTTGAGGATTGAGTAGACGCGGGGGAAATTGGGCGAAGCTGTGGACCAAAATGCAGACACGCAGCACATGGTGTGAAATTGACACGTACGATTGGGGCAAAGGGAGGAATGAGCGTGGAGCAGCAGCTTGTGGGAAATCAGCCCTAGTCTCAGTGAAGTTGATAAAAGGGAACACAGGCTGTGGCAAATAAAATGCAAATCTGTGATCAGGCAGGCAAAAGGGATATCATAGCATTGGAAAAAGTGCAGAAAAGGGCAACTAGAGCGATAAAAGGGTTGGAACACTTTCCCTATGAAGAAAGGTTAAAGCGCTTGGGGCTCTTTAGCTTGGAGAAATGACAGCTGAGGGGTGACATGATCGAGGTTTATAAGATTATGCATGGGATAGAGCAGGTAGAGAAAGAGGTACTTTTCAGCAGGAATGATTGTTGGTGGGTAATATTTACCTGTCCTCGACTGATGAGTGATCCTCAGGAAAAATAGGGGAGATTATAAGGAATGGGGGTTTCATGTGCCTGAACCAGCAAGCCACGTGGAAACTCGTCGGTAGTGCTAAAACCAAGAGTATGGGGAGGGATATAGAAAGTAGAGTGCAGGGGGAGAGAAAGGGAGTGAGGAGCAATGGCTGCCTCCTTTTAAGGGGGTACCTGGATGGGGAGGGCGATGCTGGCCACATCCCATTGACACACCTCTAGTTAGTCCGTCCCAAAAACATACCTATTGGGTAAAAGGAACAAGGGGAGGGGACAGGGATTGGTCAATACTGAGAGCTAGTAACTTGGACTGGAGAGTGGCACCTGGATGAAGAGGGTATGAGTCACCGAGCTAGGGCTATTGTCTCTTGATGGGCTTAGCTGAGCCTGTTGATGGGGGAGAGATTAGTTTCCAAGCAACCAGGTGTAGAACCTCTTGGTTACGTGCAGTCTTGCATGTAGATGTATGGGTGGGGGGGTTGCCTGCGTGTGTCAGAGGGAGCTCCTTATGGTGTTTGGAGCTCTTTGTTCTTGAACTTTGGCATGGCATGGTGTTTGACTCCTTCATGCAGCTAGGGAACTGGTCCATCTCACAGCAGGTAAGAGGGCAGGTAACCTTGAAGAACCAACTGGAACAGCAACACAAAGGAAGACTTTCTTCTCTAATGTGTGCATTCTCAACTGGCATCACATTGGGTCACCATGCAGTACAGTCCTTTAAGCAAGTGTTTGCACAGTCCATTTTGTCACTTATGACTTATACAGTCCATAAGAGCACATTAAGTGTCTTGCAGGGCAACAGTACTTCTTCACCCAAAGAGTGATGAACACATGGAATTCATTGCCACAGGCGGTGGTGGTGGCTACAAGCATGGACAGCTTCAAGAGGGAATTAGATAAGCATATGGAGCAGAAGTCCATCAGTGGCTATTAGCCACAAAGTATAGATAGGAACTCTCAGGCTGGGGCACGTGATACTCTGTATACTTGGTGCTCAGGGGGGGGGCAACAGTGGGAGGTCTTCTGTGTCCTGGCCCCACTGCTGGACCTCCTGATGACAGCTGGTATTTTTGGCCACTGTGTGACAGAGTGTTGGACTATATGGGCCATTGGCCTGATCCAACATTGGCTTCTCTTATGTTCTTATGTTCTTAAGGTTATAGGGTAGCTTTCTTGATCATGACCAGCCAACAGAAAAAGATACAAGGGTAGTTATGGCTCAGTCTTTCTAATCCAATCCAAGAAGCAGCTGGTGAATCTGCGACTGCTACACTCAAATTGTATCATGAAGCATCTCTCATACAGCAGATCCATCACATAGTTCAAAGGATAGCCAGCTGCAGAGTTGTTAGTGCTCCTGGGTGAATGCTCCAGCTTCACCATACTCATTAATACAGACTTCAGTGCCTGATTTTTGTTCAGTTCAGTGGCTGAGAATCCATGACTGATATCTTGCTCTGGTGCATTCTCCTCTTGCCTAGAAACAGAGGTTGAAGGATTTCCTCTCCTGAAGTGCAATTTTTCTGTCTCCCCCTCCGTTGGAAGTCCAAAATGCCTCCCAAGATCCTGTTACTGAACAAGAGGGGAGCTGAAGGAACAAAATTTCAGAGGGCATTTGGGGCTGCTGTGGGAAGGGGGGCAAGACTGTCATGCCACTTGAGTGGAAATCCTTGTGCCTGCAGGAACATTAGTCTGGGTCCATTCCAATATCTAGTTCAGATCATGGCACCTCTGCTCAAGAGTCCATATTACTATACCTGGTTCTTGTCCAGTTCACAACTTTTGTACTCCGTTTCCCCTTGCTCCTGGAAGGTTACAATGACAAAGCCTACAAAGATGTTCATCATGAAAAAGGCTATGAGGATGAGATAGACAATGAAGTAGATGGCGATGCCCATACGATAGTTGTATATAGGGCCCATGTCCTCAGTGTGGGTATCAATGGCTTGGTACAGCAGCCTGTTGGGGATAGCATAACAACCCAGATTAATAGGCAAGATCAAAAAAGCTTTGAAGTAATGTTGGAAGTCTTACACATCCTGCATTGCCATGGATGGGTTGACAAGTGCCCACTCTCAAAGGCTTTTTCCAAATGAGCATTTTATAGCTAGAAGAAGAAGAGGAGGAGATTGGATTTATACCCCGCCCTTCACTACCCAAAGGAGTCTCAGAGCGGCTTACAATCTCCTTTCTCTTCCCTTCCCCACAACAGACACCCTGTGAGGTAGGTGTCTGTTGTGGGGAGCAGCAATGTCATAACTGGGGATGTTTCCGCTCCCCCCAGTAAGTTTGGTTGTACAGCATAGCTAAGTCATTCAGTAGTGCAAGTGGCAGGCTAACTCATCCTTCTCAATAACCCGAGCAACCTACTTTACACATCACCCCCGCCCACTCAGTGCCGTTGGCTTCTGAACTCACTTGGGCCATCCTTCAAAGGTGGATACAGTGAAGAGAGACATCATGGCCGACAGGACATTGTCAAAATGGAATTCATTATGGAACCATATCCGCTCACGAAGAATGATCTGCGTTGGATCAGCATCAACATAATCGATGAACTGTCCCCTGGGAGAAGAGAAACAAGAGTGTTTTTTAAATTGATCTTAGGCTGATGTCACTCATTTGAGACAGCTGTTCCTAGTCTTAAAAACGGTAAAAAGTAATTTCCTCAGTTGATCTACTTCTGATTAATACCTCAAAGTTTGTTTTTTTGTATGTATTATTTTGTGACAAGGATATTACAAGAAACAGCAAGAGAGATAGAGCCAGTGCAGTATACTGTTTAGAATAGCAGACTAGAAGTGGGGAGGGGAGATCATCTGAGTTCTAATTCATCAGTCACATCTCTTATGGATCAACCTATCTAACAGGGTTGTTGTGAGGATAAAACGGAGAAGGTGAGAACCAGATCCTCAAGCCTGAGACCCTCAGAGGACAGGTGGGATAAAGTTACAGTAGATAGAATTTGCCATGTCTAAAATTAGGAAAGATTTTATTAGGAAAGATATTACTCAAACAGTCCTTTGAGTAACAGAAATATTTGCATAGGGAAACTTTGGAACTTAGGTTATGGGAAGTTTATATAGGAGGTCTGTGTAAATATTTATGGGAAAAAATCATATCCCTACTCAGCTGATAATAGATTATCTTACAACTCACCCATCCAACTTTGTGATAACACACTTCAAGGCATTCTGGAATTTTTAAAATTTATTTTAAAGTGAGGTCAAATCTAACAACACCCCCATCATATATGTATAAAAATAAATCAAACTTAATACATTTTAACTCATTATTTCTACTTAAATTACCTTGTTCCTACTTAAACAATATTATTCCTGAAGCCACATTTTCTCCTTAATACAAATCCAATTTAAAATTACACTCTTTGTTGATTCTGCAGGAGAGTTTTGATTCAAAAAGACAAGGAAGGGAGTCCAACATTGAATATATAGTCTGTGCATTGAACATCTCATGACATAGTGATTTTGTCCAAGAATATGTAAGTAGCCAGTTCTCAAAACTGGGCACTTGCTTCCAGTACTTAGCTAAGAGAGTTCTTGCAGCCACCAACATTTGCCATGTTAAATACTATTTACATTTGGGTAATGCTATCTCATTAAATCCCAACAGGCATATTAAAAGTAGGGGTGCCAGACTCCCTGGTGGAAGTAGGGGTCCCCTGCCTCCAAGCTCTGCTCCCCAGTTACCAATCAGGTGGCCAGTGGAGGGACTTACCAGGAGAAAGAAGGTCCAAGCCATGTTGCCAGTGTCACACAGGAAATGACATAATCACGCCAGCAATGTCCAGGCAATGCTCTGGTATTTGGGCAAAAATTCTATGGTAGAAACCATTTTTACCATAGAGCTTTTGCCCAAATACCAAAGTGGCACAGCAATGTCACAGCGTGATGATGTCACTTCCTGTGCAATGCCAGCAATGTGGCCTGGGCTTTCCTCTTTCTCCTGGTATGTCCCCCCTCCATCCCACACTGATTGCCAGGAGGGACCTCGCAACCCTAATTAAAAGTGACATATGGAGTCTTACACTTGTAATCTGGCAAATTCTTTCCACCATCATTATCTAGTACCCTTTAACCAGAGGACAATTCCATGGCAAGTGGAGCAAAGTACTAATAGATTTATTACATTTCCAACATATATTAGTTCTTAAGAAGTAATTACCGATAGCTGGAACTGACAGGCAACCCTTGCCTTTAGAAACATGCATCAAACTTTTTTTTCTGAGCTCCTAATAAATCTATCAAACAGCCTTTGAATTTATTTAACTGTGACAGAAACATGGGAACAGCTGAAAAAAGTCATATTTTGGTAATGGTTCTTCTTAGTGCAATCGTCCCCAACCAAGATAACTTTAGATTAGCCCACCTATTTATTTCTACCTTCTTATTCAGCAGGTCTTATATTGTCCTTCAAAGGATCCTTTACTGTATCACCAGTTTTTCATCCCAAATAACTAGCTGGTTTTGTGGCCAGTTTAGAACCAGTTAATAATTGAAATTATCTTCTGTCAGAGTCTTCTAAGTTAAAACCAATCAATATTGACTTTATTATCTTTATTTTATACCCAGACACTTTTCCAAAAGTGTGCAGTCTTGACCAATCTAAATACAGAACTATACTCTGACTCTACCATAAACATGATGCCATTGGCATATAATAAAGCTTTGACCTCAAACTCTTGACCTTACAGTCCTCTCATCACTTCATCTTGTTTCACCATCAGGGCCAAATGGTCAACATAGACATTTTGGATTGTTATTGTTATTATTGATGGGTGTTGTCCTGCTGTATTCAAAGGACTTGGGGAGAGGAAAGGAGGAAGAATGCTTGCTACATTTTGAAATCCAAAACTCAAAGCAAAACCATGTTTGTCGCATAATATCTTTGACTTGCAAGAACATGTGCACACACTGCATTGTCCCAGATTTGAAATGTAACAATTATTGTTCACAATGGCACCATAGAATGTTCAGTGGGCTACACAGGAAGTCACCAATGCTTGGTTTTTACCAGTTTCATCATAAACAAAATTTGCAGTTGCTATCAAAAATGGTAACTCTGCATTTTGACCTTGTAATGTCTAGCAGTGCTTACTGTGGTCTGATTCACAGATTGGAAAGTCCACACAGTGGAAATGCAGACTTTCAGCAGTGTGCTGGGAACAGTTCCCAGGCATGTAGTAGCCTGACTATGGTGTATGGCACATTGGGCATAAGCTTCCCCACTGCCCTGGTAGCAGTAGTTATGATATCGCCAACCTTTTCATGCTGAGTTTCCAAACTAACCAAGAGTTCAAGCACTTTTCAACTGTCAATGAACTTTGTTTACTTGAAGTTACTTTAATCTTAGACAGTTCATTGAAGCAGTTACAGAAAAGTTAGATTAACTGCTTTTTAATAGAGCATAAGAGTGATATTGGCCTTATCTTGCTATATCAGATGTAACTCATATGCACATGATTATTGTTCTATATGCACACTAGGAAAAAGGCCCGTTGTGGAAATAAATACACTCAGTGTCAATTTGGACACTCAGTGTCAATTTGCTGTGGTGACCTCAGCAGGGTGTAATGACACTGAGTCCACCATTTTCTCCAGAGGAACTGATCTCTGCTACCTAAAGAACAGTTGTAATTTTGAGTGATCCCCAGCCCTCACCTGGAGATTGGCAACAATGGCTCTCCAGAAGGGAATGGTTGGTTTGGAGGGTGGAGTCTATGGCTTTGTACCTGTCCGAGGTCCTAGCCTCCTTAAACCTCACCCTCTCCGGGCTCCATCCCTCACATCTCCAGGAATTTTCCACCTGGAGTTGGCAACCCTATCCCCTTCCCAGCCAATCCTCAACCTACCTTTATTTCTCCCTCACTCTTCAGCTTTCCACCCCCACACACACACACCTGCAGCCTCTCCCGTGCTCTGAAGCCCTGACTGCTACGTCACATTGGCTGTCATACGGGGGCCACCTCAGCAGCATATAAGGATACAGAGCCCACCATTTTTTCAAGGGGAACTGATCTTTACCATCTGTGATTCTGAGTGATCTCCAGCCCTCACCTGGAAATTGGGGACATTTTACCTCAGAACAGCAAACTGTTTAGAATGTTAGAGGCAAAAGCCAATCAAGTCGCATATGCAAACGACCTCTGTGTTCCGAGGCAAAGGCCAATGAGGCTGCATATGCAAATAACCTCTGTGTTCTGATTGGCTATGGGGGGGAGAGGAACAGCAAACTGTTTAGAATGTTGGAGGCGAGACTCAAGCAATGCAGCAAGTGGATAGGGACAGATTCTGAGTGACACACCAGGGTGCCAACCAATTCTGGAGCGTGTGGAATGTTCTAGAGAAGTGCCACCACCATTCGGCTTTTATATATAAGGGAGATGTGTTGATTACCTCATATTTAGTTATGAACCAATCAGTTATCTAGATAATAATCACATGATTATGACAGAACAGATTTAGAGAATGATGACTGATATTTTCCTATAAATATGCATGACTTTAACAAGCAAATCAGATTTCTCAGGATGCAAGTCTCAGAAGACTAGGTGAGATTTCTGGGTGTGTAATTTGGGCTTTTTGATAAGTAAGAAAGACAAAAGCTGAAGGCCTATTTGTTTCTTAAACTATTACTTGTTATAAGATGATTAAGCAATGCTAGGAACTTTGATGATTTTAGCATTAATCTTCACAGTACTTGTTGGGTTAATTTTTACTTGCTTGTATTTTCTTCTGTCTTGTTTAATAAAGAGAACAATTGTTTATCTCAATTAAAAATGTTTCTACATGTTTTCTGTCTGGTTTGCTGGTTACCAGTTCAAAGAACTGAACTCACTCCCTTACTCTTTTGTACTGTCAGTGTTAAGTATTAGGGCTGGAATATTCCAGGACTGTGTACCAGAGACTGGCTGAGTTTGAAGCTCTAGAACAATAGCCCACCAGGGCTCTGGAGGTGACCAATGAGAAACTAATGTTATGTAAATAGCCTATTGTTGGGAGTTGGGTGTGGGTTTTGCACCCTATTTAAACAGGGCTATTGCCCTGAGGTTTCAGTCTTGTTCCTGAAATCACTAAATAAAGTAGAGCTGTTCACTGCAATGCCTCTCGAACCCAGTATTTAATAATCAGAATTAAAGGCTGATAATCATCCTTTAGTAGATAAATCCTGGAGAACTCTGCTGCTAACCAGTTTACAGAGGCAAAGCCTTTGGAACGTGTTTAGTTTAGGGCCTCTAATTGGATAGGGAGGGAATCTCTCATGACACAGGCTGATTTCCCACAAGCTGCTGCTCCACGCTCGTTCCTCCCTTTGCCCCGATCATACGTGTCAATTTCACAATTTCACACCATGTGCTGCGCGGCTGCATTTTGCTCTGCAGCTTTTCCCGATTTCCCCCGTGTCTACTCAATCCTGTTTTTTGAGGATTGAGTAGATATGGGGGAAATCGGGCACAGCTGAAGAGCAAAATGCGGCCGCGCAGCACATGGTGTGAAATTGACATGTACGATCCGGGCAAAGGGAGGAACGAGTGCGGAGCAGCAGCTTTTTCCTGCCCTGAACCCACCCCAGGAGACATTATTTGCCCTACTAGTGAAATTTATATATACTGATGGCTACACATACGTTTCGGAAGAAGGGCAAATCACTGTTTTCTGAAGCCATTTCAGGTTGGGGAGGATGCTTAAGCCTACTGTCCTTTCACGCTGTGGTCTTGATCCAAACTGGGTCTCACACATCTGAGAACTGAGTTCCCAGCACAAAATTCCAGGCATGTATCTGATCCAAAGTCTTTCTGGTGGCCTTGAGTCTGCCATGTGGACATGTAGCATGTCAATATGATATTATGATGTTATCACAACCATCACTGGCAACCCATGACAGTGACAAATATGACAGCATGACTTCACAGAAAGGAGGTGGAGGAGATTGGATTTATACGCCCTTCACTACCCAAAGGGGTCTCAGAGCGGCTTACAAACTCCTTTCCCTTCCCCTCTCCACAACAGACACCCTGTGAGGTAGGTGGTGGGACTGAGAGAGCTTTGACAGAAACTGCTCTTTTTCAAGAACAGCTGTGCCAGAACTATGGCTTGCCCAAGGTCATCCAGCAGGTGCAAGTTGAGGAGTGGGGAACCAAACCTGATTCTCCCAGATTAGAGTCCGCACACTTAACCACTACATTAAAGAAAAGATAAGTTCTGCTAGATGTTATGGAAGGCACAATCAGTGATTTGTTTTCTATTTATAGTTGTCAGTTGCAGCTGCCATAGACTAATCAGTAATGTCTAATTTGGTGCTCTCGCTCTTATTATACCAGGGGGATCCCATAGTCCTGAACTGTAGAAGGATATACTAGCTCATCAGAGAGTAGCTTACCTGCACTCCTCTTCAGTTATCTTGAGTGGATCTGTGCAGCTGTAGAATTTCCCCTACATTTAATCAGAGATCCAAAGAAGGACTGATTTTAGTACAGTCTCATTTGCCTGACAGTCCTGAAAAATGAAAGTTTCCAGCTGCTCAGTGCCTAGACAGAGGTTACCATTGTTGAAGGAGAGAAGGGAAGCAATGCCTCCCAGAGAGTTCATCATCACTTCCTTTGCTGCTGATATATGCCCAGGAACACATTAAGTTACTTTATACTGAGTCAGATCAGTGGTCTATCAGTATTGTCTAATCTGACTGACAGCGGGTCTCCAAGGTCTACTGTAGAAATCGTTTACATCACAGGCTACCTGATCCTTTTAAATAGAGGTGATGGGAATTGAACCTGGGACTTTCTGCATGTAAATCAAATGCTGTACCACTGAGTCACAGCCCTTTCCTGAGGACATCATTTAGGAGTAGTTTAGGGAGAGGTTAAGATCCTGACAGTTTTATTTATGCAGTGATTGATTGTAAAATAGTCCACTGGAAAAAAGTTACCCATTTCAATGGCATTATTGTGTCAGTTTCCTGGATACATGCATATCATCAAATGACCTGGGGTGGCTTTGACTCCATTCCACTTATGCAGTTAACTTACAAGTTTCCTCCATAAGTAAAAGAATCCTCTTCACTTATCCCTGGACCAAACCGAAGCTATTCTTCACAGACAGGTTATAAGTATGTGGATAGAAATCTCCCCTAGCCACCAGAAACAGCAGAAATACCAACAAAGCTGTGCCAGAAGATAACGAGCAGCTAAAACTTTCCATCCATGGGATTATCAGTATCTGAAGACCATTGGTCTATACAGAGACAGGGAAGATGGAGAAATGGGAACATGCTGGATATGATGTAGCTGAAGATAAGAAGGGTCTCCTTTCCACCTCATTCAAGAGTCTGGTGAAAGTTTTGTATCTCCTTCTAACAAGTACTAGTGTTTATACTATAGATGTTAATATATGTTCACTGAGAAATATTTCCCAGTGCATTTTTGTTGAGATTTTGCATGTTCACTCCCTTCAGTCATGAAAGAGTTAATCTGTCGTTACTGTATGTTAATCTTAGTTAGCATATAGCCAATGAGGTGTTGGGCATATTTTTCCCGCCAATGAAGAGATATTATTCCTAATGAGATGGTCTTAATATCAGCTATTAGCTAATCAATATATTGGTGGTTGATACATGTTGCTTGTCATGTACACAGATGTGGGGCTTTGGGAGTAAACTTACTTTCCTTTGTTCTCACTCACCCTCGCTCTCGCAAAGATGCAGACTTAAAACACACATGCTAGAAGTATGTGAAACAGGCAAGTAGTACTAGTTAGCCAGGATGTTTATTGTTTTTCTTCCATGTAACACTTTCCCTTATATTTTCTAGTAAAGTTTTTCTTTTAAGCTAACACACATGTGTGCTGCACTGGTTTTATTCTGCTAATCTGCTAAAGAATCCAACAATTTTCCAGTCCCAAATTTGGGTGATAACTGTTGGAAAGCACTGCTTTAGGCCACCACCTGAGTAACATTGGACAATTTGTGGATGTCTGGATACGGTGGTAGATTTGATAGTCGAGAAGGGTTCTTTGCAAAGTGTAGTCATCTAAAAAAAATAGGGAACATTTTCCCAAAAGGTTCTGATGTTCTCTTATGCCCTCTCTAATGAATTCTGCTCTAAGCATTCTTTATATGATCAAGTGTAATCCTGTTAGTGAGCTCTTGAGATATTTGTTTCATCTCAGAATTTCATACATAATAGCATGGTCATTACCTTGAATATACAAAGTTTTATGAATGTCACAGATGACACAATAATCTGAGGAGTGACCAGATCAAAGGCTCCATGCTTTTGGATTCCAAATACAAGGATTATTGGTTCAGGCCAAAATCCTTGAACCAATGATCACTGAAGCAACCTCACCTATCCCTAACCAAGTAAACAAGCTCTAAATCAACAGACTTGGGGAACAGGACAAGGTCTGCCATTTATCTAGGAAAGAGTTTTACCTTGAAGAGCTGTACCCCAATGCAGGCAAACATGAACTGCAGTAACGCGGAGACCAGTACAATGTTGCCAATGGTCTTGATAGCCACAAAAACACACTGGACTACATGCTAGAGAGAGAGAGAGAGAGAGAGAGAGAGAGAGAGAGAGATTGGCTGGATTTGATCTGGCCATCATGTGATAGGGTTTTTCAGATAGTCAGATATTACAGTGCCTGATAGCCACAATCCAGCAAATTCTAAGGAGAAGATCAATGCTGGACCATGAGCAAGCCCAGCATTTGCCTGCCCCCATCCATGGATGGAATCACAAGGGTGGGGGGAGCCTATTAAGGCTCAGTGCGGGAGTGCTGACCTATCAGGGCTGTCTGTCTGGCTGACTAAGTCTGGCAGTGGCAGCCATTCCCTGATCATTCCAGCCAGGACGAGCTCCACACCTGCCCTCTCTCTGTTTAGGACCATGTGGGATTAGCCAGTCACTGGTTGTGGGGTTGAGCAGGAATCTTTTTGGGTCTCCCTCAAATTGGCAGTGAGGGGGGCCTTTTTTTGCCTGCTTCGTGGTGGCTTCTTCAGGGTTAGGGGAGCATGTGACGAGCCTTAAGGCTTAATAGTCATGGGTGGGAATGTGCTCCTCCACCTCCTGTATGCACTTGGAGTGTGGGCCATGACAAGTAGGGTTCAGAGGGATCCCGGACCAGGCTCTGAGCCAGGTGGGTTTGCCCTGTTAAGAAGCCTGCTTTGTGTCAGCTAGCTGCCATTGTGTCTGGTGTTACCTGCTTAACACACCTTTGGCCCTTTCTCCCCCCCCGGTTCCTTTTGCTTCTTTATGCTTGCTCTGTACTTTGCGGAACTGGCCAAGGTCGTGCAGCTGGTGGTGGGAGTCGGTGCTTCGCTCAGCTTGTTATGGTTATCTCGCCTGTGAACTGAACCTGTGTTGACTATGTAGAACTGTTATGTTCCCATGAAATGGGCGCGCATTTGCAAGTCCTATTCCCGCCAGCGGGAACTGGGCTCATTGGCCCTAACCTGGTTCAAATCCCTTTATTATGTTACACGTGTGTATTGGTAGTCATTCCTAACAATGTCCTTGTTCCTGTTTGAACCATCGCTTTGAAATAAACCTTACTTTGAACCAAACGTGGAGTTATTTCGAATGCCTGGGGATCCAACACTTTGCAGGCACAATGCAACCTGTGCTTAAATGGTATGAAATGATGCAGATCAGTTTATGTGTAAATAAAATTCCCAGTTTAAGCCATAACTTGTGTTGTGTTTCATTTGAGGGGTGGGTGGGCAAATAGCTTTGCCTGGTTCACTGATAAACTTAAAGGTACATTATTAATTCAGAGGTGGGAAGTCATCACATGTTCCCCCTGACATGTCCTATTTCTGGGCTAATGAGCACTAAACAGAATCCCAATTAACCTGCTCACCTTTAGGCCCTTTGCTCTGTTAATGGCTCTCAGGGGTCGTAGTACTCTGAGAACCCTTAGGATTTTCACCACTGAGATGGCACTGGATCTGTTATAGGAAATGGGAAAGACATTTCAATAAACACACACATTTGTGCTCATGATACACAGACTCAGTCCTTTCCATTAGCACAGCATCCTTAGAATGTTTCTAGCAGTATAGTGAGGCACTTTGTGGATGGAATTGCTGTAACCTTGCCACCAAGTGGCTTGAAAAAGCTCTTTAGAAGGACGTAATCACTTCCACTGTCCTGGCAGGTTCATTTGACATGGAATTATAACAGAATTTTCATCAAATTATGATGGAAGACAGTTGCAGGGTGATAATTACTACCTGAATTGCTGTCAAACTGAACATACTCCCAGAGAATGAAGCTTGAAACCAGGCATCAAAACTCCAATCCCTAATCCACCATCAGTAAGTAATAGAAATGAAGAACCCTTATGAAGGAACATTTGTGGTTGATGAGAGGAGGAAGGAGGCAAGCCAAGGGATAATTATGCCTAATCAGCTAGCAGGATTAAGCTGTAGAAGCTGACTGTACCTCTAATTTCCATCGTAATGTGGAGGCAAGAAAGGAATTACTTTTACTCTTAATTTTAATTGTTGAAATTAATTTCTGCTGCTTTTCAAGATTCAAGTTTATTCCCCCTCAGCAGACCCTACTCCTCAGGGTCCAAGGTGTAGTCATCTTCCCTGCATAACATCTTTCTTAAGTTTCTTCAGAAATACATACATCTTTATTCTATTTCATAGTATTCCCTACTCTGTAGTAATATACAACCATTCTTCAGATGGTTGGTTTAATTTCTACTCCCCCTCCCAAAGCATGAGTACAGCTGGCTCAGGGTCTACAAGAAATAATGGAATGACCCGCTAGAAAAGCAGTCCCTCTGTTGCAGGCTTACTGAATTCCCATGGAGATGAGGGAGACCGCTACCACAAGCAAGTCCAGGATGTTGAAGGAGTTGCGGCAGAAGGAGCCCTTATGAAGAAAGGCACCATAAGCGGTCATCTGTGGGGAGCAAGAAGAGCTGGTTAGCTTTCAGGAGATCCAGTTCTGGATGTCTGTTGGTGTGTGAGGATGCTTTTTTTCAGTGGCCAAATACACAAGATCATTTGGACATTTTAGAACATTGGTTGGTATGCCAAAATGGCAGTTGCCTGAGAATGACCATAAGCGCTGGATAACGGGCAAGTCTGAATTTAAGATAACTGGCGCTCTATATTTGTCAACTATTCAGAGGAGTGATTCAGCACAAACAAACAGCATGTTATGAATACAGTAATGCCTAGTCTGGCATTCCAAAATGGCTACATGAATTGTCCTTATGTCTCTCTAACTGTGAGGGTGATTATAGACAACACTGTATCAAGTTCCATGGGGGTAGTTATTTTTCTATGTCTCTCTTCTAAGTATGTGTGCATGTGCCGTTTGTAAGAATACATGGACAATTTGCAAGGTTATGTGTCCTAGTTTGTATCTCCTTTCCTGGCTACCTCAGTTTGTACACTGGTGTTTTTAAACCTGCACCAGTTAAGTATAGGACATTGGATGCTTTGTGGGGTTTACAAAGGACTTCCTTTTCAGATACTGTGGGTAAGTAAACAGACAACTACTTTACCACAGATGCCACTATTAAGCCTTCCCTATAGCAGTTCTAATTTTGTGAAAATTAACTGGCCAATAAACTTCAGTAGAGTTTTGAACCTAATACTGCTATGCTTTCATTTGGAAACCCAGGGTAACACGCACTTCACCATGTGAATGAAGCTTACAGATTATCAGGTCTGTACAGAAATAAACCGGGAAGGTTTTAAAGTCATCTGTTTCCACTCTGAGAGTGAATATGTGGTTCATTTAGGTTGCAGTCACACACACTAAATAATCCACTTTCAATGCACTTTCCAAATGGATTCTGCCAGTTAAAAATCCAGTTGGAAAATGCACTGAAAGTGGATTGAAAGTGGATTGTTTAGTGTGTGTGATGGCAGCCTTAGTTCATTGTTAGGGGAGTTCTGCAGCACAGCAGAGTCAACTTAATAACTTGTCTTGTACATCTGATTAAGACTAAAATTACATATGCATTGCAAGGCACAGATAGGCTGGGGATGTAATTGTGAATCTACCTTCCTACATGACCATCAATTATTTGCAAAATGGAAGGTCATTTTAAACTGCCTGTTTTTAATAAGTGCACACTAGCTGCAGGAGTGGTATGTATGAATAGTGCAAGCTTGATGGGCAACAATGAGCAGCACAGCAAGTGCCGGTGCCAAAGCTAGTAGCTGGTGGCAGAAAACACTGAAATTACTTGTCTCCAGCAAAACAAAACAGAAATCTTCACTTTCCCAGGTCTATCACTTAAGGTCCTCTGGGGTTCCTGAGAGCCAGTTTGGTGTAGTGGTTAGGAGCGCAGACTCTAATCTGGGAGAACCGGGTTTGATACCCCACTCCTCCACTTGCACCTGCTGGATGACCTTGGGCAAGCCATAGTTCTATCAGAGCTGTCCTTGAAAGGGCAGTTTCTGTCAGAGCTCTCTCAGCCCCACCGACCTCACAGGGTGTCTGTTGTGGGGAGGGGAAAGGAAAGGGATTGTAAATTGCTCTGAGACTCCCTTGAGTAGTGAAGAGTGGAGTATAAATCCAATCACCTCCTCCTCCTCCTCCTCCTTCCACACATTAACCAGCAGAGAATTCTCCAATATTGCTACTCCCTCCAATAACTGTTTTTCTGGTTCAGAGATTAGTCTCAAACTTGATCAGAGGCCACTGAAGAATAAGGTGTAGAGAGGAAAGCCTACACTTACATGACATATTGGGCGGTTGTTGGTTAAAGCCCACATCAGCCACACTTTCATCACCATCTGCTAAATAGACTGGTGAAGGGGCTGGCACAGTTTCAGCTTTAGATACTCAAAGAAGGAGGGGACCCAAAACCCTAAATCCCTTAATCTAATCCAAGCCCTGGCAGATGCACATCCAACTCTGTTAAAAAGCACATAAAATGAACAGGATGAGGAGCTTTATGTGAGAATTTAAGCCCTAAGTAACTCACCTTTAGAACTATTTCAACTGTAAACACAGAAGTGAAGACATAGTCAAAATATTCTAGTATCTGGAGACAAACCCCCCCCAGAGAAAGAGGGAATTAGTTTTGTAAATTCACTCTCAAAAACATTTAATTTTCCAACTCACTGTTTACCTTTTGTATGCATTCTCACATGACACTCAAGAAAAGAAGCTAAATACATCTTTATAGCTAACTTGAAACTTTTAGTTATTCACAGTGCGCAGTCTCCACATATCTCCAGCCACTTTGGCACTATAAACTTGTATGGATAGTACTCTGCAGAATGATTATGTGACTATTTTGGGTTACCGTAGGTCAGACATTAAGATCTAGGAATTACCTTATAAAGGTATGATCAAATTAAGCTGTCATTTTTCTGCACATGATTTTCATTTCTGATTACATTTTAACAATGCATTAATTATTACAACCCATAGTGTTTCTCACTGAGAAGTAAGATCTAGTAGTGCCTTTGGGCCAGGGCTTTTCTTGGTGATGTCACCAGTGAAGCAGAACAACTACTCTTATTTATTTATTTACTAGGAGTACGGCTCGTTGTGGGAAGAAATACAACGAGGTCTAGAAGGAAGCTCCAGGTGAGTGTCCCAGCTGTGGCTGCTGGGGCGGATGAGGAAACAGGAAAATAGAGGGAGGCAGGCAATGTTTATTTCCTTCTGCTTAGCTATAGGGCAGGGCTGTCTCAAGTCATTTTGCTGCCATTTTGTCGAGGAGAACTGATCTTGGAGATCTCCAGGTGCTGCCTGGAAGCTGGCAATACTAAGGGGAGGGCCAGACCTGTAGATTTGAGGGGTAGAGCAACGCAGCCAGTGGATAGTGAGTGACAGATCAGGGAGCCAACTGATTTGGGAGTGTGGAATGTTCAGGATAGTCCACGATCAAACCAGAATTATTATATAGAGAGATTTGACTTATACCCCGCCCTCCCTGCCGAAGCAGACTCAGGGAGGCTGTCTAAGGAGAGCTATCAGGTAACTTTTTAATTGAGCTTTAGGAATGTTCTTCAACTTGCTTTATTTATTGAGTTCTCAGAGTGAAATTTGTTCATGCTGGTTGAATACATTTAACAGTTACCTTCTGTTTACTTTGTGGCTGCTGCATATTAGCTATGCTTTTAGAAAGGCAAATGGTTCATTTAATATTTAAAATGGAACGCAATTCAGAATAATGTTATTTATTTATTACTCCAATTTGTACCCCGCCCTCCCTGGAAAGCAGGCTCAGGGTGGCTCACAGTCAATATATAAATAACAGTTAAAACAACATAAAATCATCTAAAAACAATTCAAGTTCATAAAGTACTGGTAATAGTTAATTAGTTGTTTGTTTGAGATGGCTTCCTTTAAGAGTGTACACAGAGGTCTAACAGTCATTCTGCTTAAGATCTTCCTGCAGCACAGGCTAGATGTCAGCACCAAGGGCCAGGGCTCTATAGTTGCCATTTCGAAGGAAGATCTTCTGAACAAAGATGTGGGACAAAAACTGTCTCTCAATAGTTCATATCCTCTGGTGATGTCTCACAATTATCAAAAAAGATTTTCAATAATCATGGGCTAAGATGGGCAGGTTCTACTATACATTACAGCTGGTATGATAATTGAAAATCATCTTTGATAATTGTGAGACATCACCAGAGGATATGAACTATTGAGAGACAGTTTTTGTCCCACATCTTTGTTCAGAAGAAGATCTTCCTTCGAAATGGCAAGACATTCCGGAGATCACCGTCAATATATATTTTTCTATGATTATGTATATTATTTTTGTTCACTTTTCTATGATTCTTTAAAGACATATATTAAGCGTCACTTTCTCACAGTTTTTCTTGTTCTCTGTATTATCTCATTACTGTGCCAATCAATTGTTATTATACCTAGTGGTAGCAAGCCTGGCATCCTTGGGGCCTGAGAGGGTCAATCGATTTTGAGCCCCTGACCGTAGTGCTTTCTGGGGTATATATGGGGAAAGGCGGTCCCTCAGGTATGCTGGACTCTGGCCATATAAAGCTTTAAAGGTAAGAACCAGCACCTTGAAGCAAATTTGGTATGCTATTGGCAACCAGTGCAGTGTCCTCAGCACAGGCTGGATGTGCTCCCACCTGGGGAGACCCATCAAAAGCCTGGCTGCAGCATTCTGCACTTGCTTTCGTTCCAAATTTGCAACAAGGGCAGCCCCATGTAGAGAGCGTTACGGTACTCTAATCTCGAGGTGACCGTCGCATGGATCATTGTGGCCAAGTCATCGCGGTCAAGGAAGGGAACCAACTGCCGCGCCAGCCGTTTGCTCTGCAGCCATCCTTCCTGAGCTAAGACAAAAATGGGTCTCCATTGTTAACGAGGCATCCAAAAACACTCCCAAGCTCCTAACCTCCAGCGCTGGCACCAACGGCGCCTCATTGAAGGTGGGGAAGGGGATCCCTACCCCCAAACTGCCCTGACTCAAGCACAGGACTTCCGTCTTCATCAGATTCAGTTTCAGCCAACTCAGCCTAAGCCAACCAGCTACGGCTTGTAATGCCCGGTCCAGGTCTTCCGGTCTGGAATCGGACCAGCCACCCAACATCAGATAGAGCTGGGTGTCATCAGCGTATAGGAGCCATGTGCAATCTTAATGAGTTTATTGGAGGCATTGGCTCAATCTGCATCTACCATTTGCTCCGCTGTTATACCAAACCCACACTGGAACAGAAATTCCCATCTACATTGCATGCCACTTTCACTTTAATTGAGTGTCACATTTTATGGCAGTATCCAGACTGCATGCTGCTTTCACTTTGTTTGATCTCTGGGTTTATGGTGGCTGTTTGCATAGATTTATGGCCATTTTATGGCTATTTGGGGGTGACTCTGCAGTCAGTACCGCAATATCAAGGAATGTTGCTAAATTTCTTTTTATTGCATTTACAAAGCGCAAGCACCTCCTTAAAACTTCTTATGATGTCTCATTTCTGTAATGCTTTTTGGTAACCTGGGACTGTCTTGTTTGTTCCTGTATGCTGTGCAATGGGTCTTTGACCATAATAAACTCTGATGATGATGACCTCGGGTATTTGAATGTGGTTTTGAACCACATCTTTTTCTGTTCCAGTGTGGGTTTGGTAAAACAACTGAGCAAATGCTAAATGCAGATTGGGCCATTATGTTTCTTGTTCATGTTTGGCTCACACATACAAACCAGTCCCTTATAACCATCTGCAGCCCTTTCTCATTGCCTTTTTTATGTTACCCCAATTTATTTCACACAGTATATCCCTAGTAAAAGGAAGCTACAACAGAAGGAGATTTCTTGTGATTCAGTCTTGATTATCCACCAGCACCGTGCCACACAGTGAGGCACAACTGCTGTCTCTAGTCACCTGATTCCTGAAGGACTCAGCTCGGATGGGATCCTCAGCTGCCAATGAAATGCTGCTCAGCAGGATGAAGAGGAGGATAAAGTTGGTGAACCAGGTGGCATTGACAATTCGGTGGCACAGCACTCGGATTCTGAAGAGGACAGAGGAGGGAGAGGCATAGAGGCCGGCTGGCTAATAAGCTGCTTAAGCAAAACTGGATAGTAGGAAGGGCATCTGAATGGGTCTTAACTGAGAGTAACTGATGAGGTTTTTGGCAAACAGTTTGTATCTAAGCAGGGAGAAAGAAAGCATTTCTTTTCTACTGGTACCAGGTTGTAGCTAGCTCCTCTTCCAGAGAGTTCACAGTTGTAAATATGGGTTAGGATTGCCAGGTCGCCTTGCCACACTCACAGGGGCATTCCAGGATATCCCCGATGTGATGACAGCACCCAGAAGTGACATCATTGTGTCAGCAACATCACAGGGCAATGCTCTGGTTTGAGGGCAAAACTCTATGGTTTTAGGCCAAATTTACCATAGAGTTTTGCCCTCAAACCAGAGCGTCCCATGTGATGTCCCGAACATGATGACATAACTTCCAGGTGACATCATCACGTTGGGAACTTTGCACAGGGACGTGGCTGTTCGGGGATGGGCTGAAGCCCCGAAAACCGGGGGAACCCCCGCTGGTACCTGGAGACTGGCAACCCTAATATGGGTCTCCCATTCATGTGTTGGCCCAGTTCGAAGCAGTATTTTTAAGAGTTCTTAAATTACTGTTTCACTGTTGTAGTGCAAATCTGGGACCCTGTCTGGAAAAGTCTGACTATAACAAGAGAATAGTCTGAAGGCACCTACTGGGATTCCATCTCTGAATGAAAGAGTCCTGGTCAGGTATAAATCTGTGAGTGGTAGTAAACTGATACCTTCAAGGTCCTCATACCTGGGGACTCCCATTTTTGTCATGGCTTATTTCTCCCCTTTTATGTACACACGTACAACTCAGTGTGGGCATAAAAATGATAGATGGATCTTGAATTAAGCTGACATCAAAAGGCAGTGAGTCATGCTAAGGCAGAAAGGAATGCGAGGCAGCTCCTCTATCAGTCATGCAAATACCCACCCTAAGAGGCATTCATCAAGGACCATTTCCCCGAAGGGCATCGGACCCTCTTCTCAGATAATCTCAGCCTAAACAACCAGACAGGAAGTTTCCTGCCCTTCCCCAGTCATGACAAGTACCTGGCCATGGATACTCACCTTTCTAACTTCCAAATCTTCCCAAGGGAACACTTTTGATACTCTCAGACACAAGGGGAACACCTCCACAATACAGAGAAAGGGTTTTCTTTCAGGCTGGCTCATCTTCAAAAGATTGCCTTTTTATTTCTCCCACCTTCTGATGCTAACACTCCTTCCCCTCTTCGTTCCAGGCAAAAGGGTATAACGAGCTCCAACTTTTGTAGCCCATTTGTAAATCATCCTGTTACCCCATTCTCTGAGATGGCCACTCTCTTCTCTGCTCCATAGACCTCTCTCCTCCATGTCTCCTCTCCCTGACACCGGTCAGTCTCATCTCCTGACACTGCTTTGGCACCGCTGGGGACGGCCCTCCTTTCTCTCCAGGGGCAGGCTTGTATGTCTTATTTTCCCCCTTTTAGTTCCCCCCCCAGTGGGTAGGAAATTTTCTAGGGAAAGGTTTTGGTGGGTCATTTACTGCATTGCTTTTTCATTTCTGTAATTTTCAGAGGGGCTTTTCTACTTGTATAGATTAATTTGGACTCTTTTCTCTTTATAAAATAAATACCCCTTCTGTTTAGGAGTCTTTCCACCTCATTTTTCTGATCATTGATCTGAATCTGGACCTTGGCATACACAGGCTAGATTTCAAGCATATTAAAGTACCAAACATACATGTGTTTGCTCCATGAGGGGATGCCTTTGCCATGTTACAGCCCTGACACGTGTAGACTGATCTAACAAAACACTCCATGTCAGATCTCCACAGGGGCTTCTTCTTGTCTAGGGGCTAATGGCCATAGACAGAGAGATAAAGGAAGAGGCCATACTTGTTGGTTGGGCTAAAGATGAAGAATGCACTTGCTTCTGGCATGGGCACTGCTTTCTCCTTCAACTGCAGTTCTGCTAGAGGACGTGGTCGAGGACTCAATGGGATTTCAGGCTCATCTTCTTCATCATCACCTGCAGGGTATACAGCTAATCACTGAAAAGCTAGTTTGTTGCATAAAAGTATGTTCTGGATCCTATATATTCCAAAACTCCTAGAAGGTGAACCTCAGGAGAAGGAAGTACTAATGGCTCAATACTTGTATGTTTAATGTTCAAAAACACCTCTGTGTTGCTTCTTAAGTTCTAGCCGAGTTGACTTGCTCACATACCCTGGGTCACTGACCTCAGCATCTGCCATTTCTTTTTTTATGGGTCACTGACCTCAGCATCTGCCATTTTTTAAAAAAATAATTGTACTGGAATTTGGCTTTTGCCTATGTACTAGTAACACTAAGCACAATCCTTAGCTTCATCAGTGATCCTTCTCCCACCCTTAATATGTACATAGATCCACATGGGCAGCTGTGTTGGTCTGAAGCAGCAGAACAAAGTTTGAGTCCAGTGGCAACGTTAAGACCAACAAAGTTTCACTCAAGGTATGAACTTCCATTGAAATGGAAGTTAACAGTTCATACATATAGGCAGAGGGTGAACAGCAAATTAGCATATAACATAATGAAGATGTTTTCACAGATGCAAAGACTAAACAGAAATAACAAGCTAAGTTTATATAGTCACCATTTGTTTGTATTTAATTATGGGGAAAACACAGCGAAGCCAATAAATATGTCAAAATAAGAGAGTGATGTGTAAATGTATCCTTCTTAACTGTGGGATGCTAAAAGTAATTAAGGCTGTGGTCACACACACACTTTTGTTACTGTCCATGGGGTTGGGGTTGGACCATAAGGGGTTGGACCATAAGGAAGGCCGAGCACCAAAGGATAGATGCTTTCGAATTATGGTGCTGGAGAAGACTCTTGAGAGTCCCTTGGACTGCAAGGAGATCAAATCAGTCAATCTTAAAAGAAATCAACCCCGACTGTTCCCTGGAAGGCTAGATAATGAAACTGAAGCTCAAATACTTTGGCCACCCAATGAGAAGGGAGCACTCACTGGAGAAAAACCCACAACAGACGCCCTGTGAGGTGGGTGGGGCTGAGAGAACTCTGACACAAACTGCTCTTTTTCAAGGACAGCTGTGCCAGAACTGACCCAAGGTCACATCAGCAGGTTCAAGTGGAGGAGTGGGGAATCAAACCCGGTTCTCCCAGATTAGAGTCTGCACACTTAGAGTCAGACTCGACCGTGCGACTAAACAACAACAACAACACACACACTAAGGCTGAGGACAGACTGGCAGTATGAAGCGCGAGGGAGGTGGGGCAAAAAGACCCGGACCAAGTTGTGCTATGGATTCCCGGTCGCACTGCACCTACTGATGCGAGAGCATACCGGGGAGGAGGTGCAAGGGAGCGTTCGCACTGTTGGCCTGCCCCTGGCGGAGACACAGCTGGCGACATGCACATAGGTGCATAGGCACATAGGCGCAGCACCACAGCAATGCGGCTTGTTTGCGGCTTTTAGCGTGCACACTTCCGGGAAGCGGGATCAATGCGCTCTCCAAGGTTTGCTACAGCTTTCACCTGATACTTTTTTAACTCCGTAGGGAATCATCATAGGACGGATTGAGTATGGCTGGGGAACACCTGACAGCTGTGGCTGTGTGAATCGACCCCTTTAATCTGTTTGTGAAACTGTCACTGTGCCTATATCGGGCCAAACTGCCAGTCTGAACTCAGCCTAAGTAATCCACTTTCAATCCACTTTCCAACTGGATTTTACTGTGTGAACTGACAAAATCCAGCTGGAAAGTGCATTGAAAGTGGATTAAAAGTGGATTACTCAGTGCGTGTGACCACAGCCTAAGTGTGCATGCACAAGATAGCTCATACCTTGAATAAAACTCTGCTGGTCTTAAAGGTGCCACTGGACTCAAACTTTGTTCCTTAACCTGTACAGTTGATTATTTCATTCATAAACTATAGCTACTAAGACCGTTTATTTTGGATGCATCCAGGTGCGTCAGAAGAAATGCAGATGGATATTTGCTTCTTCTCAAGCTTCTGGTAAGTGGCAGTGCCCTTGAATAGGCAGCTTCACTCGCTGCAGAAACCACAGTTTGTTTTTCTTCCACATGAGTGTAAGAGAGCCAACTACTGTCTGTCTTTGGTAGACCCGCAGCAAGGAGTAGGAGACACAGATGACAAGCTGCTGGTTCTGAGGCTCCTCATTTTTTCAGAATGGGAACGGAGCTTCCACCATTTCCAGAATTTAAAGAAGGCTTTTGGTATTCTTTTTGTTGCCTCCACCCCTCTCAGTGCTGCATGCCAGGAGACAAAGGGGGTCTACCAAAGAGGAGGAGGAGGAGATTGGATTTATACCCCACCCTTCACTTGGAGTCTCAGAGCGGCTTACAAACTCCTTTCCCTTCCCCTCCCCACGACAGACACCCTGTGAGGTGGGTGGGGCTGAGAGAGCTCTGACACAAACTGCTCTTTTTCAAGGACAGCTGTGCCAGAGCTTGTGACTGACCCAAGGTCACATCAGCAGGTGCAAGTGGAGGAGTGGGGAATCAAACCCAGTTCTCCCAGATTAGAGTCCACACACTTAACCACTACACCAAGACAGCTGTGCAGCATGTGGCAGCTCTGTACAGCGTAGTTACGTGAGGCACGTTCTTCTCACCACACATATTGCCATACCCTTATGATATGCTGTAGGTCATTTCTATTTATAATTAACCCTTCAGCGTTTGTGTGTCAGGAGACGCAAATGGAGCTGAACTATTCTTACCTGGGAAGTCTGCAGAGGGATAAGGGTCCTTGATTTCATTAACATTGGATTCAAACTCATCCACTTTCAACTGAAGAAAGAAAGACAGAGGGGGAAATGAATGCTCTTTCTCCATGGTCCTGTACCAACATTACAGCTGGGCAGTGGTGGACCGTTAAGGACACTTCACACAATTACACCTTTTCTGCAAGAAAAGCACACCTGTAGCACTTGTCAGGTGTCAATTTCACACAAGCTGCTGCGCAGCCACATTTTGCCTCGCAGCTTTGTGCAATTTTCCCCTGCTGGTTCTGAGGCTCCACATTTTTTCAGAATGGGAACAGAGCTTCCACCATTTCCAGAATTTAAAGAAGGCTTTTGGTATTATTTTTGTTTGCCTCCACCCCTCTCAGTGCTGCATGCCAGGAGGCAAAGGGGGTCCTACCAAAAACAGCTGTGCAGCATGTGGCAGCTCTGCACAGCGTAGTTACGTGAGGCACGTTCTTCTCACCTCACATTATATTGCCATACCCTTATGATATGCTGTAGGTCATTTCTATTTATAATTAACCCTTCAGCGTTTGTGTGTCAGGAGACGCAAATGGAGCTGAACTATTCTTACCTGGGAAGTCTGCAGAGGGGTAAGGGTCCTTGATTTCATTCACATTGGATTCAAACTCATCCACTTTCAACTGAAGAAAGAAAGACAGAGGGGGAAATGAATGCTCTTTCTCCATGGTCCTGTACCAACATTACAGCTAAGCAGTGGTGGACCGTTAAGGACACTTCACACAATTACACCTTTTCTGCAAGAAAAGCACACCTGTAGCACTTGTCAGTCTAAACTAGCCCTGTATAAAGTGTTACCTGCACCTGTTCCCACCCCCTTTAGGTTCGTAATGGTCTGGTGAGTGCCCCTTACCAAGCCGGGTAGAATGTTAAAAGAAAGTTAGCTGGAATGCAACACAAGGTTATTTAAACAATAAAATTGTTTATTAGCTAAAGACAAGCAAGGAATACAAAACAGAATACTTACTTCCTAAAAAAGAGACAGTCAGTGGTTAAATATACAGAACAAAGATTTCCCCATGCACAGAAGCTTCTGGACTGGCCCAGGGAGATCACAAAAGACAAAGCCTTCCCTGGATCTCCGAGAGTGGAAAGCTTAGACTGACAAGTGCTACAGCTGCATTTTTCCAACAAACACATAGGTTATGACATGTGATAACTGTATATTAAAACTTAAGGAGAGATCTGCTGGATCAGACCAATTGTCCATCAAATCCAGCATTCTGTTTCACACGGTGGTCAAATGACAACAATGGGAACAGCAATGTAGTAACAATGAAAGACAAAAAATTGCTGCAAACGTACACACAGAAGTAAATTACACTGAAGTAGAATTCATGATGTATGCTCTTTATATTCAACAGGTAAACAGACTGGCAGACGGACGAACATCTTGAGTTGATGCTCGTTTCGAAGTGCCTTTCTCAAATGAGTCTCAATTTTCTATCCATGTGCAATAAAGTCGACAATGGAATCTTGAATCAAAATGGTCATCTCCCAACGCTATATAGCTACAACATTTCAAATGGACAATTTACTTCTGTGTGCACGTTTGCAGCAATTTTTTGTCTCACACGGTGGTCAACCAGTTGCCCCAGAGGGCCAACAAAAAGGGTACTCAGCCTTGCTCAGCTGTTAAAAAACACTGTGTCATTCTTCACTCAGTAACAGAACTTAATTGCTGTGGAAAAGTTCAGAGCAAAGGTCAGTATTTATATATTTGTGGTGTCTCTTTTCCCTTATATGGCTATTTAGTCACCATGGCTAGTAGCCATTGATGGATTTATTCTCCATGAATCTGCATATTGCACTATGTAGGAATATTCTGGGAAGCCACAGGCAATTGTGAAATAAATACATATATACAACCATTCCATTATGTCCTGTTCCCAAATGGATTCGCTTTGTTGCAGAAAATGTGCCTCATGTGAAGTGGCCCTTAGATGGCTCTGTTGTGTGAGTAATTTGGTTTTATGCATCAATGAAAACCTATGCTTTGTTTAATCAAACTCTTCATCTTCATTTGGAATATGGGTTTTGTTTCATTCCATTTTGCTGAACCCAGATACTTCCCAAAAGGCCTACACAATTTCAAAGTATGTTTAATCAGCTCTATTGGGACAAGAAAATGCTTAAATTCATATATTTAGATACTGAAGATCTTGTGGTAATTTGGAACAATGTAAAAAATGGCCTAGAATCTCAAAGGCAGTCTGAATGCTTTTTCCTATGAGGCTTCTGTAGGGCACTGGAAATCATTAAGGGTAGACAAATATGGGACTCATAGGTAGCATCCTTGTCTGACCTTAGCTGTGGTAGGGATTCCTTCTCCCTTGGCCTTCTGTTCCAGCTTCTTAGCCAGCAACAGTTTTTCCTCATCTGATTTCTCAGGGTAACCTCTAGAATGAAGAACCAAGAAGAGAGGGAAGTGAAGCCAAGAGGAAGGCATGCTGGGAAAAAACCTTACAGTTGGCCCAGATATTGGATCTCACAAATTTCCAAGGAGTCAAGGACCAAAGCCCCAAGGTAATCACTGTTGTGCCCAGCAGAAGGAAGAACTGACCTGGCCATTTTCTTTCTCTTTTTCTCTTCCTCTTTGGCCTTCTGAGCGGAAGTTAAAGTTTCCGCTTCGGCAAGGTTATCCACAGCAATGGCCAAGAAGACATTGAGCAAAATATCTGGTATGAGGAGAGAAATGCTAAGGAATTTTACAGTGTAAGCTTAGACAATATAGAAAAAGGAGTCAAGAGTCTGGCATTTCTATGATGACTCTGTCCTGACACTGGAATCTTAACTTCAGCTTACCACACTATTCAATTTGGCACATTAGAACAAACCCAGAAATGCAGGACAGAGTAGCAGGAGTCTGGCAAAGGTAGGTTATCTTTTCACAGTTCCAAAAATCAGAATCCTGACATGGAGATTCTACAACCTGCACAGGTCCCTACCTTCCTTGCCCACCTGTGGTGTGAATATCTCAAGACAGGCAAAGGAATTGTTTGGATTGATGGCACCAGTGCAAATGGACTGTGGAAATGAGAAAAGCATTAGATGTACAAATCAGCTGTTTAGATATGCTCTAGTCTGCACAAATGAGAATGGTATTCGGCAACTGAGATTAAACTACCTGCATGTTTGTAGCTTCTTGTCATAGGGAAAGGAAGGTTCTGAGTTCTGATGTGTGGTCACACTCACAGAATAGCAGTCAGCCCATAAAAAACCCAGCTGTACAGCCAGTATGGGCTGTTGCCCAGTGATGGTAGACAATCCATTCTCATTACAGCCAAACTCTTTCGATTCTCCATTGTGATGGCACTATCTTGGCATAACAGATGCAAAGAAACCAGAAAAGGAAGTCAAATGTTTTTTCTCTTACTGTTTACACACCAACCTTAATTTATAACTTCCTTAATTATTTATGGCTCTGAGTAAAACACTATTTCAGATTTCACTGATGAGGTATGAGAAAGAGAGCAGAGATGAGGGGAATAACATTTAGCCAGTCAGTAAGTAGAACCCGTACAGATCAAAGATGGAGGTGCTTCTAAAACATGACCACATGTGAGTGGGATCTTCCTTCCCCTGACCTAACTAAATGGCAAAATTAAGTCTAATAATGTGTAATCTACTTACCATCCATCTTGTCCCCCTGTTTGAACATTCTGCCCTCCACCTGTGACAGTCTGGACTACTCACCTACATAATGAACAATCTTATTTGCATAGACAGAAGAAAAAACATCCTTCTAGGAATAATTATTGTTCTCCTGGTCATATTGGTGACCAGTCCATAGTTTGAGGCAAGAAAGTCCATCTTTGCTGATTGACCATTATTAGGATTAAGATACTGAGCTAACAATGAACCTTAAAATGATACAAGCAATGACCAACTGGATATAGCCAATGACCTATTGTCAGATGATGTCAATAACCAAGCAAACTGGTTAAAGAAAGGATACAGTTCCCACAGACAAAGAGAATTATGAAATAAATGCAGACCAGTATACCAGGGTATGATGGTCCTCCATAGGCCATGATTCCATCATACATTATAGAAGTCCAGTCTTCCCCAGTCAGGACCTCAGAAGAGGAAAGAGATTTTGTAAATAGCAGGACATTCTAGGCACAGCCATTGCATTAAGACTTCAAACCCAGAAGAGGACCTAGGAGGCAGAATTCCTCTCCCCCCCCCCCCCCCCCCCCTTTTAAGAAGAAAGCATCAAAGCTCTCAGGAGTTATGACGAGTGTTCCCTCCAGACTGGGTTAGTGTGAGGTAGCTCACAGCTTTTTAGCCTCTGGCTCACACATTTTTGTCTTAGCTCAGGAAGGATGGCTCCAGAGCAAACTAATTTATGCAGTAGCCATATTGCTTGCTCACAACTTTAATGCCAGTAGCTCACAAAGTAGAATTTTTGCTCACAAGACTCCACAGTTTAGAGGGACCTTTGGTTATGACTCCTGTTTTCCTACTGGTCACTGTCATATTCCTGGAGCTTAGTACAGAACGCAAGAGTTTTCACCACCAGAACCCTGCCCTTAACTGGGTATTACCTGGAAGACACTGATGAGAGCCTGAGGAAAGTTATCAAATGTGCTGCGCCGTATTTCTGCATCATCAAAGTCAAACCTGCCTCCAAAAAGCTGCATCCCTAAAAGGGCAAAGATGACAATATACAGGAAGAGGAGGGTAAGCAGGGAGATAATGGAGCGCACTGAATTCAGCAAAGATGCCACCAAGTTGTTCAGAGAGGTCCAATATCTAAAGAGAGGGAGAGAGACAAAAGGGATGTCATTCTTAATATGCACATGTCTGTGCCTGTATCCTACAGTCATTTCCCACTTTTGTAAGGGATGCTGCACAGATAGAAATCCATTGTCAAATTACTGGAAGAAGCTTGCACTAAATCAGGGTGGCCAAACTGCAGCTCGGGAGCTGCATGCGGCTCTTTCACACAGTCTAACTTAATGGGGGTTTTTTAATACATAGACCTTTATTGGCATAACACAGGAACATAAGGAAGGCAATGGAATAAATAAATTAATAGAACAAATTAATAAATCATAACAAGTTATATCAAGTTACACCAACAGGGGATCATTTTTAAACTTCTCAAGAATAGTGAACTCAGTTAAAAAAATAATAATAACAACAATCCAAATGAGCACAAGAGGATTAGAACTTATGCGCCCTTACCCTTAGGTTCCAAACATAAAGCAAATGTGCATATTTTTCAGTAAAACCGTGTGTGTAATCTTTGTTCATGTCTTGCGGTTCTCAGACATCTGACATTTATTCTGTGTGGCTGTCATGTTAAGCAAGTTTGGCCACCCCTGCACTAAATTATTTTCATTGTATTCAAATGTTGGATCATGCTAATGGAAGGCATAGTGCAAATACAATTATAGTCTTACAGATTAAGTTGCATCCGTGACTGTGTTAATAAAACAATGCTGAATCTAACATAGGTCTGTTAACATTTGGTCAGTTATTGATCAGTAAAACCCAAACCATCCATCCTACTTCAAAGGAAGCTCTCTCATGGAAACCAAGTTTTAATTAAACAGCAAAAAGTGTGAAATGATCTCATAAGGTGGGGTTCCCTGAGTAAGGCATTCCAAAGGGTTGGTACGACTACTGAGAAGTCCCTACTCCAAATCTACACCAATCTCACCTCCAAGACGGAAGGGACTATCAATTTCTCCAATCCTTTTTAAAAAACCATCTGAACTCTCGCTAGATCTTGCTGCAGTAAATTCTATAAGTTATTTTAATGTGCATTGTGTGAAAAAGTACTTTTTGTCTGTTCTCAAACAATCAGTTTAAGCACTGAGTGAGGGAGAAAACTTCTATCCTGTCTCCACATCTGTTGAGCATGCTGAGCATGTGCTGGCATATCCAAAATGGTTGAGGTAACATTTGTCTTACAGTCATTACCACTTTGGATGTGGCCACTCCAGAATGTCTCATATTGAGTCAAATCATGGTCCATATTAGCCCAGAATTGTCTTCAGTGGCTGGCAGCAACTTTGCAGAGTCCAGGAAGAGATATTTCGCACATCATCCTTTAAATAGAGATGCCAGGGATTGAACATGAGACCTTCTGAATGCAAAGCTTGTGCTCTGTCACTGAGCCACAGTGCCACCCTTGCTCAGATTTATTCCAGATGGCAGGCATCATTCTGGGACAAGTAAGAAGAGAGTCAAAATTCAGGAACACTCTGGGGAGGAGGGAAAACTGGCAGATGTATTTAGGCTGCCACAGTTATCAGGAAGTACAATCCCCTTCTAAATCACTGTGATTAGAATCAGGCTATAAGACTGAAATCATGAAAGAGTTCTGGTCTTCCTTATTGACCTGTTTACCCTACTGAGAGGCCATGGGAGATAAGTTAGATGCTTAAGCTGTGCTGGAAGTGGGCAATTGCATATATGCACATCCTGAACAATGAATGGCTGGGAATGGCAAGAGAAGGGATTTCAGAAACATTCATATATGCTGCCATATTGGCCTCCCAGGGGACACTCACTTGGTTATCTTGAAGATCCTCAACAGGCGAATGCATCTCAAAACTGAGATGCCCAGGGGAGACATGGAAACAATCTCCACCAGTATGATCTCCAGTATGCCAGTGCAAACCACCAGGCAATCGAAGCGGTTGAAGATGGACATAAAGTACTGGTGCAGACCCAAGGCGTACATCTTCAGAATCATCTCTACTGTAAAGAGGGCTAGCAGCACCCGGTTGGCAATATCTGTGAACAAGAAATATTATGATTGGAGGAGTTCTCCTCTGGCCACCAGGAGCCACCCAAGAGTCTGATTTCTCTTCAGAGGAAGGAGAAAGAGAAGGGACGAGTCTAGGACTACTTTCTCCACCTAGCTCAGCATTCCTCTCTGCTGCAAGAGCAACACACCCACATTCAGCCCTCAGAGCAGTTATTAGGGGTACGTATGAAGGTCAGCCTATGCTAATGTATTTTTCCTTGATACTTTTTTTTTTGGTCTTGTGTGTGTGTGTGTGAGTGTGCGCGTGTGCATGGGCGCGGGCGCCCATGCCTGGAAATCATGATGACCTCTGGTGACTCCTACTGTGGCATGGAGGATGTTCAGAGAAGTGGCTTGATATTGTCTGCCTCTGCCTCCCGGCCTTGGTGTTCTTTGGAGGTCTACTTAGCTTAAAATCTGCTTAGCTTAGAATCATAGAATCATAGAGTTGGAAGGGACCTCCAGGGTAATCTAATCCAACCCCCTGCACAATGCAGGAAATACACAAATACTTCCCCCCCTACACACACACACACAGTGACCCCTGTTCTATGCCCAGAAGATGACAAAAAACCTCCAGGATTCCTGGCCAAACTGGCCTGGAGAAAAATTGCCTCCTGACCCCAAAGTGGCAATCAGCATTTCCCTGGGCGTGTAAGAAAGGACCACAATAACTAAGCACTGAGGCAACCCTTCCTGCCCTCCCTCCCATGTTCTGCCTAAGTTCACAGAATCCGCAGTGCTGTCAGATGGCCATCTAGCCTGTTTGAAAACCTCCAAAGAAGGAGAGCCCACCACCTCCCAAGGTTCCACTGAGGAACCACTCTGTCATGAAGTTCATCCTAAATTAAGCTGAAAACTCTTTTGATTTAATTTCAACCCATTGGTTCTGGTCCGACCTTCTGGGACAACAGAAAACAATTTCACACCATCCTCTATATGATAGCCCTTCAAGTATTTGAAGATGGTTATCATATCACCTCTCAGTCATCTCCTCTTCAAGCTAAATGTAGCCAGCTCCTTCAATCTTTCCTCATAGGACGTCTCCAGACCCCTCACCATCTTTGTTGCCCTCCTCTGGACATGTTCCAGCTTGTCCATATCCTTCTTAAATTGTGGTGCCCAAAACTGAACACAATACTCTGGGTGAGGTCTAACCAGAGCAGAGTAAAGTGATGCCATCACTTCACATGATCTGGACACTGTACTTCTGTTGATACAGCCCAAAATCATGTTCAGTGTATGGTCTACTAAGACCCTGAGATCCTTTTCGCACATACTACTGCCAAGACAAGTCTCCCCCATCCTATAATTATACATTTGATTTTTCCCACCTAAGTGCAGAAGTTTACATTTATCCCCACTGAAATTCATGTTATTTGTTTTAGCCCAGTTTTCCAGCCTGTCAAGATCATTCTATATCCTGACTCTGTGTTCTACCGTATTTACTACCCATCCCAATTTAGTATCATCTGCAAATTTAATAAGCATTCCCTCTATTCCTTCATTCATATCATTTATAAAAATGTTGAACAAAACAGGTCCCAGGACAGATCCTTGAGGCACTTTACTTGTCACTCCTCTCCAAGAGGATGAGGAACCATTCACAAGCACTCTTTGGGTGCGATCTGTCAACCAGTTACAGATCCACCTAACAGTAATAGGATCTAAACCACATTTTACCAAAGGATATTATGTGTAACCTTATCAAAAGCCTTACTGAAATCAAGATAAACTGTCTACAGCATTCCTCTGGTCCAGCAAGGCAGTAACTTTCTCAAAAAAAAGAGATAAAGTTAGTCTGACATGACTTGCTCTTGAGAAATCCAGCCATCCTTTCTAAGTGCTCAAGGACTGTTCAGTGATTTGTTCTAAAACTTTTCCAGGTGACGGGTCGGTAGTTACCCAGATCCTCCATTTACCAGCCCCCAGTCTTCTGCATCTCACCTGTTTTCCAAGAATACTCAAAAATAATAGACAGAGGCTCAGAAATTATATCCACAAGTTCTTTTAGAACCCCTGGATGCAATTCATCAGGCCATGAGGACTTAGTTTCGTTTAAAGAAACTAGGTGTTTGTGTACTATCCCTATGCTGATCTTAGGCTACAACTCCCTTCCCTCATCATGTGTTCTGTTTTTGCCATATTGAGCACCATTTCCCTCACAAGAGAAGACTGAGCGAAAGTAGGAACTGAGCAGTTCTGCTCTCTCTTCATCACTTGTTACAATTTCAGTTACATGTTCCCACAATGGGCCTTGCTCTTTTTCTTACTTTGAACATAAGAATAGAACCCTTTTTGTTGTTTTTAGCATCTCTTGCTAGCCTAAGCTCATACTGAGCTTTAGCTTTCCTAACTCTCTATCTACAAGCACTGGTTAGTTGTTTGGTTATAAGGCCCTCCTTCCATTTCCTAAATGAGTTTTTTTATTTCTCAATTCTTCAGAAAGCTGTTTATGGAGCCACCCTGGGTTCTTTAGGCTCCTCCCATTTTTCCTTCTCATAGGAATTATTTGTGATTGTGCCTTCAATATTTCACTTTTAAGAAAGTCCCACCCCTCTTGAACTCCCTTCTCCTTAAGTACTTCTGACCATGGGATTCTGCCCAGAGATCTGAGGAGATCTAATGAGATCAGGCTTGCCTGGGCTATCCAGGTCAGAGCTTTCCCTTGATACTTTTAACTTGAAAAGCAGTGTCACATGTTGTCATTGGGAAAGATATGGTGCTGGGCTTTATTCTCTTCCATTCTTCTCACCTGAAATTGTTACCTAGCTGCTTTCTTAGTTAGTGGGAGGGGGGTATGGCTTCTTTGTATCTCTGAGCATACAAAGGACAAGAAAAGGAACAGTCAAGAAGTCCGTTTCTCCCCACTAATTCTCTGCTCTTAGCTATATTTCAGAGTTTTTTAAAAAGCCAAGGCAAAGGACCATACTGTGGTGTGTGGTCTTGAGCATATGAGGCTGGATCTAAGGAGTGATAGGTTTAAGTCCAAAACCAAGGGGAAAACTCTGTGTGCATACACATTCACATATGAATGTGGAAATACAGACAGCAATACCAAGCGGGGAGAAGGAGGAAATTAGTTTGTAATAGGAGAGGGCTAAAAGCAAAAACAAGCAATGGCTGAGGCAATGATGTTCAAGACTGACATCCTCACAGACTGACATCAACCCACCTTGTTAATCAGAACCTGTGAAGTCCCTGGAACTGGAATGCTTGGCTCACCTTGTACGTGGGTCAGCCAGCCAGGCTGCCGGTGATGCTCAGATGCTATTGAGAGGGTGTTCAAGGAGACGATCAGGATCACAAACCAATAGAAAAACCTGGACTTAACCACTTCACGGCATTTCCGGCGGAAAAGACGGTTCCATCGCCGCCAGTGCCGGCTGGAAGAGGCAAGGAGAGTAAAAATGAGAATTGTAGCAGATAACTTCCAAGGCCAGCCCTACAAAGGCTTCAGAACCACTGCTGTTCTAGGTGCAGGGTCAAGCCTAGCCATCATAAGGCCCTTGGGATATCTGAAATCCCTTCTATCTGTCGCCACCCCTAAAGTTGCCAAGCACAGTCTGGCAACAGCAGGAATATAAGGTGGGGGGTGGGGGTGCCATCAGACAATAACCATAGAGTTTCAGGTGATTCCTAGAAAAGACTGACATTATCCTTGGGTTCCCCCCCCAAAAAAAAAAACCCGTCTAAAACATTTTGATGTCATTTTTGGATTATTATTTTTTATCCCACCAGCCAGAGTGGCAGTGAGAAACAGGAGCTGGGACAGAGGGGTCCCTCCTGTAGTGGGAACCTGGGCCCTTAGAGCAGAGTTCAAAATACCCACTGTTTGCTGCCCTTTTGTGTGGACATTTAGGCCTACTAAGTCTCATCAAACTAAGAGTGGGGTTAGGAGATTTCCTGAATGACTATGTCCTTTATTGCTCCTCTTTTATGTAGATTCAGAGGTGTGTGGTGTAGTAACTAGGTGCTAGCTTTTCCAGCCATTTGCAGCCAGCCTGCCATCCAACTTTGCCACATGGCCCACATGTTCTCAGACTTGCTCAGTGTATGATCTATTGGAGCATGAAAGCCTTCTGTACTTCAGGGAGGAGAGGACAGAAGGGTAGAAGGAAGCACTTACTTAACTGTCTTTTAGGTACCAGGCCGAACCATTTTGTTCATGTAGGCCAGGAGTTCTCAGCCTTGTTGAACCCATGGGTGTTACTGGAATTTTGAGAGCAAGTAATGAGAACTGCAACAAAGTGGCTACTGTATTGAGTGGGGAGGTCAATGACAAAACATTATGTAACGTTATGTTATGTTATGAGGTTCCAAGCTAATAATTCTCCATTTTCCAAATGGGTGTTCCTCATATACAGAGGTGATACCTTCTGTGATCTTCTGAAACCTCTCCTGGGAGAGGAACACTAGTAGAGCACTAGTGAAGCAAAGACTATGCAAATAGCATCACATGACAGTCTAGGAATTCTACCAACCTCTATGGGAAAAACCATCGAGGGGATTTCTAGAGCTTTGTTTGAAGCCCATTTAGTGTTGTGTTGCCCACCCCCTGTTTTGCTCCCACCATTCCACAGAGCAAATGCAGGGGCACAAGGGGCAATGGTGGGGGATTGCCTCCCACAGGCATTTCTATTCTCTACTGAAGTGGGCAAGGCCAGAATTGGCTCTTTCCTTTGAGGAAGAAGCAAGAAGGCATCAGCAAACGTTTTCAGGTGACATGGTGTCCACAGGCCCCATGCTGGGTATCACTGACCCAGACTTTTAACTTAATTTTATTTTCTTGTATATTTTCTCACCACTCAGTATTCTAGTTGCTTTTATGCCCTGTTTTTATGCTTACACTGCTGGTTTTACTGGTTGGTATTTTAAAATGCTTAGTTGGGTTTTATTGTTGATGTTTTAGGAATCATTCATTATATTTTGATTTTACAATTGTATTATTCATGTTTTATTTTGTGCTATTAATCACCATGGGCAGATTGTAGAGAGTGCAGGATATTAAAGTCTAAACACATAAATAAAAGGGAGAGTAATTTAGATGTGGCTGTGGGGAAAGCAGAAATAAGAGGGCAACCAAGGGTTGGGAGTGCCAAGATAGGCCCTTTCTGCATTGACAGCTTGCTCTGGAGAATCTGAGGAGTCAGGCCTTAAGGGTTGACTTCACAGTCACATGCATTCCCTCTGCACTAGGTTTTCCTCCCCTCTGGTTTATTTATTTGTTTATTCTGTATGCATTCTGCATCTACAAGCAAAGCCCACATTTTTAAGCTAACTGGCTGCTTTGTCTAAGATTAAGAGAAAGGCAAACATCTTTCAAAACTTTTAACTGCAGACCCAACCCCTCCCTCCCACCTTCCCTCCATGATTCTGCAAAAAGAAAGGGAAGGGAGGGGGGAATCCAGGCCCACACATGCAAGATTGGCACATTTGGTAGCAGGGAATCCCCTAGTCCTTTATATTTACTGATTCCTTCTTATGTTGTCTCTGGCTTTTTAAATGTTTGCCTGAGCGGGAGGGCATGTCCTCTTTTGTCTTTGGAGAAGAAGGGAAAGAAAACAGAATGGGGAGGGAGCGTCAGACTAAAGAGAGAGAGAGGCAGAAACAGAGGAGGGCAGCGGGCAGCACTTAAATACCCGCAGAAACAATTCTACTTTAGAAAGGATTAGTGATTCAAAAGTGGATGAGAACAAAGAGTTGAAGCAAAAGGAGTTTTGGTAACTGTGGGGCAACAGCATGCTGGAAGCGGTCTGATTGCAGATTCCTGTAAAACAAATGCAGAGACAAGAAAAAGCCCCGACACGAACCGGAAGTGAAAGTAGGAGGGAATGCAGAATGGAAGAATAGCATGCGCTCAAAAACTGAGGCAAAATGCGGGTGCAGAAAGGGCCATAGAGAAAAGAGCCTTGCTATGGGACAGAGAGAGAATGGGTCAGAGGAACAACAGGGAGAAGAGTTCATAGTGGCCTCTGGTGGTGTTAAGGTTGCTGATTCCAGACTGGCAAATCCCTGAAGGTTTGCGAGGGGAACCTGAAGAGGGCACTTTGGGGAAGGGAAGGAGCTTGGAGGGGATGTGATGACATACAGAGTCAACCCTCCAAAGCTGCCATTTCTTCCAGGTGAACTGATCCCTGTAGTTTGGAGATCAGTTGTAATTCCAGGCCCCATCTAGAGGATGGCAACCCTTGGCGGCACAGAAATAGGTGAGAAAACATGCAATGGGATGGGAGAATGGAAGAGCTAAAAAGAAAAACAGGTTTTATGGGCCTTTGGACAAATAGCATATTTTCCTCCAGTGACATTGCAGGTGGAAGGGCTAGATTCTGTGAAAGAGCCGGGGTTTTACTCTTTTGAGCACTCCTCCTACCAGGAAATGGGAGAGGTGTCTGAGGTATTCCTATTTTCCTGGTGGGATGGATGCTTGGAGGAGCTAGCAGAATATGTGATTTTCTCATGTTCTGCTTCCTCCCTTGCTGTCAAGCACTAGATCGGCCCAGCATCTCAAGTCAGTGGTGGCGAGTCCTCTGCTGAGCTGCAGGTCTAAGCAGGAGAACACCAGGCTGGCCCCTTCAGCGTAACTGTAACATTTTACAGCTAAAAGAAAAATGCTTTTCTGCAGTTAACAGCTCTCTTGATTTATTTCTTTTAAAATGTTAAAATGACCTCACAATGATGTAAGCTGTGCACTAGAAGCAGTACACATTCTACTTACAAGAAGAGGATCCATTTATTCATACCCTCAATTTCATACAGGCTCTCAGTCTCTGAGCCGCCTTCATCCGATGGCATCATCCCTGTGGAAGATGGAAACAGAGACTGTTGTGTTCTTAGCAACTCAAGCACAGCGTAAGTTCCAACAAGGCTTATTTATAATACTAAACATGTTCATAAGAACTGATGCATAACTCTTTACTCTCTCTAGGCTCACGCAGGTCTCCCCCCCCCCACTTCTTGCTTTCTGTTCTCCCAGACTGCATCCCCCAGTGAATAGTATTCATAGGCCAGTTGATTACTAGCAATATTGTACCTAAGAACACCATAAAAAACTAGTGAATCCCACAAAGGCCAAGAAAGTGGATGAATCCTAGCCTGCACCAGCCTTTGAAACAGACTTCCCAGCATGGCAGCCCAGGGAGCCTGCTGTCACCGTTTGGTGAGCAGAGGCTGTTGGACTGGCTGGCGCGCACTGGCCTCATCAGCTGAGTGCAAGCCAGGTTGTGATCTGGCCCAGCAGGTGCATGGTGCACCCTGGCTCTTCATGTGTTCAGGTTTTCCTCTGAAGGAAGTTTCTGAGGCTAGGACAGGAGGATTGCAAAGAGCAGTGTGCAGCCAAGTGGGAAAGGAAGGGGCAAGCTCGTCCTTTCAAGCGGGGCACACTCCCTCCCTTTCCCCAAGTGCATCTATCTGTTTTGCATCTGCCATTGTGCTTTGTCCCCTGTGACTTGGTGTTCCCTGTGCCCAGCTGAAATTTAGTGCACTCCGCTCCCCCTTCGCTCCCCCACTTGCCTGCTCACCTGGCTGCTGTGCTGCTCTCCCTGCCCCCCCCTCCTGCCACAGCTCACTGATCTCCACGAACTGCTAATCCTGGGGGACAGGGGACCCTCAAGAACAGCATGAGGTGCATCCGGAGTCTTCAGTGGTAGGGGATAGAATCAGTGAAAATCATCCCCCCACATTCCATACATATTTATTTATTTATTTATTTATATTTCAATTTGACATTCTCTACTGGAAGTTCCAGCAGTTTTCATCCCGTATCATTTTTACATTTTTTGGGGGGAAACCTCTGCCTTCTAACTGGCTTCCCCTTAATCAGGTAGCTGATGAGCTTAGTACCTTCACCACGGGTCCGGTCACTGTCTATGACTTCTGCATGAACGATCCAATCCATGTAGCCCTTCATGTCCTCCTCTAATTGCTGCTTCTCCCTCAGCTTCTGGAATGTACCTCGTGATTTGGCTTTCTCACGCTCTTTGGTGAACTCCCTGGAACAAACCCAGTTAAAAATTAGTACATACAACACAGCCGTTAAGAACATGAGAAATGGGCTGGGTAAATCTGAACCTGCAATTTACTTTTAAAAATACTGGATACATCGATCTTCCCAGTGCCTCATCTCATTTGACCTTTACTCATTCTCCCTCTACCTCTCACACACTCATCCTCATAGTGATTTTGTCCATGTTGTGCCAGACAAGCCAGTCACGGCCAATCTCCCTCCCATGGCTGGGCTGTCAGTGGTCCTCTCTTTTCTTAACTTCAGTTAGACTCAGGTACTGTAGTCAGTTAGCAGTCATTCTTTATTGATCTTGCATTTCAGGCTCAACAGGCAAGAGCTCTAGCAGACTTATAGGCCCAAGTGTTTCTGTTTATTATGTCTGGGGTTTTTTAAACATAATTTAGTGGTTTACGGTTACACTTTTCCACTAAGAGGTGCTCACAGTAGTTTACACAGCAGAAAATTAAGCATCATTAAACATTAAAAATGATTTCATTCTAAAACCAACAGTTGAGAACAACAACTGCAAAACAAAACAAAAAACGGACAGCCTTCAGATTAAACCCTCTGTGAACTCCAGGCAGAAGAAAGACAATCTTTGTTAGATGTCAACAGGTCTCGGTGGCAGAGGTCATTTCGGGGGGGATCGTGGGGGATCGCAGTTCCCCCGGGTGAGGTACGGGGGGCGGGGCACATGACAAAGCCCCGCCCTCTGCTTCCGGCCGCCCCGCTTCCGGCCCTCATTCAGCCAGGAGGAGGCAGGAGAAGAGGGAGGGTAACTTGCTTCCTCCCTGCCTCTCCCCACCCCTACCTGCCTGGGGCCAGGGAGGGCCTTCGCGGGGCTTCCTTGCACTCCCACCAGCCTTGCAGGTCCACCGCCGGGCCCCTCATGGGGCTCGGCAGTGGAGCTGCAAGGCCGGCGGCAGCAGCCGGGACCGTTGGGGGTGGGGTGTGTGGCCTTATGACACACTTCCGGTGATGTCAGGGGGTGTGGCCTTATGACACACTTCCGGTGATGTCAGGGGGTGTGGCATATGCTAATGAGTTATGCTAATGAGTTCCCCTGGCTCTTTTTCTACGAAACGACCCCTGCTCGGTGGACACATTTACTCAGTGACCCTGGACAAGGAGATCCACAGTCCAGATGCCACCCATATAAAAGCATATTTCTGGCAGAAGATCAAATCACCACATAGTGGAACAATCTCTCTCCCAGGGATTTCAGCTTACAGAGGAGTGAGTGTAAACTGCAGAGGGCACTTCGTATGTATATGTTCATATCTGTATTAAGAACCCCTGCTCTATGACTGAGACCAGCAATAGGAACAGTAGCGTGAGAATATGGGCGAAGGAAAGAAAGATTTCATATTTTGCTTGATTGCCATAAAGACAATCCCCTTGCAAAATTTTAAGAAACATTCAAGACAGAGTCCCATGATGTTGAGAGAAAAAAGACCACCGCTTAGCTTACCCACTGAGCACACCCAAGATCAGGTTGAGAATAAAAAATGACCCAAGTAAGATGAGGCTGACAAAGTAGATCCAGGGCCACTCATTCCCAATAGCATCATTTACCTGAGGAAGAACAGAAATGTGATGAGAAACATTTTCAAGACAGGCATTATGGAAAACCTCTGCTTCTGCGTGAAAAGACTGACTCTGGGTCTGGGGAGACAACCAAGACAACCTGGAAACAGGGCTTGGAAACAGGCCCCAAGTCACCTATCAGACCTTGCCCCCTAAAAGCTGAAAGAGTTGATGGCAACTCATTGCTAAAAGTGAGGACCTCCTTTCTAGATTCCATGCAATGTCTGCTGTGGCAGGTTATTTCTAGCTTCACTGCCAGTTTCAACAGCAGACTAATATGAAGCAAAAAGGCTCACAGTATATAAGACACTCCATCCTGAGCACAGTTATACCCAAGTCTGTCTGCTTAAGGAGGCACACTAGGGCTGCAATCACACACGCCAGCTGAAGCAGAGGGGAAGCGAGGTTATTTCCCCTGGAGGAATTTGACACACAGTTGCAAGATCACACAGCCCTTTGAAGCAGCGGGCTTAGCCCGTGACTGTGTGATCAGAAGCAACTGTGGGTAAGTTGGGGGGGGCTGCCGTTTGTTTCCCTTGCACATAAACGCGGATTCGCACCTCCGCACTGAGGGCCCCCTATGGAGTATGCTGCAAAGGAGGAAAAAAACAATGGCACAGAGTCGGAATGGCGTGATCAGACCATCCCAACGGCATGAGAGTGTGCTTGGCCGATCAGATAGGGGAAAGTCCATATGTGGCCCGCAGCAACCTGTTTTCTACTGGACTTTCCCCGGTGTCTTTTAACTCCGCTTCCGTGGCGGAGCAGCATGGGTTGCTTACGACTGCGGGATGCTTCCCAGATGTTGCTGTCTGATCGCTCCCTTTAGATCCGTCAGGCATCTGCACCCATGTTGGATCTAAAGGTGCGTGTGATTGCAGCTCGGGAGTCCCCCACGCATCTGTGGAAGACCTGATTCAGATTGGGGCAACCATGCAGGGGAACAGGGCTTTAAACTGTTCCTCTGTGCCATCTGCCTAATCTGAAGCAGTCCTGCAAGGCTGCTATTTGCCCTGCTGGACCGTTCTTTATAGATCAAACACATTTAGAAACTCTGGACGCAGAAATCCCAGGGTTTCTTGTTGCTTGACCTAAAGTCAAACTTAGGTTAAATAGGTCTCATACTTTGGGGGCTGTGGTGATTGGCACCCACACCTTAAGATCACTCTGGAATTTGATGTGTACACTGCACAGACTGATGCCCTGACTCGTGGAATTTTCTTTCTAGGGAACAACAGCATCATTTTGCAGTGAGTGTCACTGCTGTCCGTGAGTACGCTACTGCCTAGAAAGTGACAGGACCAAATGGCCATAGATCCACAACCTTGTATTTGCCACTTGGCGAGTGAGCTGTACAGCATCGTTTCTCTCATTCTTAGCATACCCAGTAGAGGACTTTAGTCCACCCCTCCATGGAGATACACTGGTAGACAGTCAGCATAGCAAACCCAAAGTTGTCGAAGTGGGTGATGCCATTGTTGGGTCCTGGCCACCAGCCTCTGCATTCAGAGCCATTGATGGTGCAATGGCGCCCGTGGCCTGAGTTTGTACATGGAGATGGTTCTTCATTTTCTACTGTGGCAATGATGTCTGAGGAAGGAAATAAAGGTACAGGTGTGAAACCTGGCAAAGTATGGCAAATGCACTTTCTGTTTAAACATGTACTCCACTCTTCCAATCTAACTGCAGCAGAGCTTGAGAAAGTATGGTAGATGTTATTACCTGTGCCCAGTTCCTGTTTATGTAAGAGCATCAAAGGCCAGCATTTTGCTCCAAGGCCCAATGTGATGCCCCAGGCATCTTGGCACCTTCATTTAAGAGGAATTCAATAACATCTCCTACCTGTCCCAATGTAGTAGCAGGTCTTGTGCATTTTGCCCTTAAAGAGTTCCTCTCCTACAATGGCATAGATTATCAGCATGAAGACAACAAGCACAGCAATGTGGAACAGTGGCAATATGGCTTTGCCAATAGAGTTCAGTACCACTTGCAGGCCTGCAATGGGAAGAAAGTGAAAAGAGACAGGTGTTATCTTCTCCTTTTCATTACTTTTCCATCCACCTTCATACACTGCCCTACAATCCCATTTATGATTGACAGTGCAGCCTTAAGCAAAATTACACCCTTCTAAGCCAGTTTGGTGTA